AATTTCCTTAAGTTAAAGAGCGATCCTAATTTTGAATTTCTTATTCTAAAGTGTAAATTAGTTCTCAAATGTTATTTATTAGAAGCAAAAGTTACTGGGTATGTTCATTAACCATTATTTCAGTAAGTGAAAACCAACATTTAAAAATAAATAAGCACACAATCCAAGTCATAAAACAGTTTTATAGTCATATATTGACTAATAAGGCAAATTAATATATAAGTAGTTGCATACAAAAATTAATATATTTATCAAAATGCGGCATAAAAAAATTATGAATACGTTGATTCATATTAAAATAAACTTATACAAATAGCCAATTAAATCTTAGGTTTAGGATTAAAAACTGAATATTTGTTTAAATATCTTTGAGTACTTCTTGAATATCTTAACTAATAAACTCATAAATACTATCATAGTTATCTTGTAGCAGCAATGCCGATAGAACTGATTTGCATATGCATATCATTTAGTTATATACAGCATATTTCTAGTGCTACCGACTTCTGCTCGACAGTAGGTTCAGTTGTCAGTTGTACCAGTTGCCAGATCATTTCCATAGCCAATATGCTGGCTTTTTGTCGCGGCTTAACATACGTCCAACCGGCGACTGTCTATTGGACCAGTTAATAAGCATCAGCATGTCTAATAATGCCCAATGGCCCCCAGTCACCTGGGTCTGAAAGTGGCTGGTACTGCTTTAACAACCTTTACTTGACCACATCTAGAACTCTACCCATTACTATGTATATCACTTGAATAGAACTGTCTGAACGGTTTGAGCTACAGCAACGCTATTCAGTATTCCAGCGCTGGCAAAGCCAGATCCAGAGTCAAACTACTAAAAAGTCATTAAACAAAACATGTTTTGGCCTAAACAATGGCTTACCAAATACATTTGAATAATGTACACAAAGAACGAATGCGACAGAAAAAAACCCGAAAAGTCAATAATCTGATTGTGAAACAAGCAGCAAGAGAACAGCGACGCCGACGTTCAATTAAAAAAATCAAATTAATGAAAAGAAGAAAAAAATAAAAATAAATTAAGTAAATGTTGTTAAGGCAGCCGCCCCAACGATCTCGAACTCGAAAGAAAGCGGCCAAAACGAAAACAAAAAGAAAAAATGATAACTTTTCAGTTCGAAGCGAAACTGTACCCCCTTGGCGCTGGCTGAGATGCCGATGCCGATGCCGATGCTGCTGATGATGATGATGCTGCCGCTGCTGTTGCTGCTGCTGCTGCGTAGAACGGCCGAGCAAAGCGTACGGTCCAAAAACAGAACACAAACGTTGAACAAAAAAAAAAAAAAAGAACCGAAACCCTGCTAAGGCAATGGCAACGATCGATACAATTTTTTATTTTTGTTGGCCGACGAGTTTTGGGCATTGGCATTAAAAAGTCAGAGAACAGTAACAATGCCAAGTCACTAACACACACACACACAGAGATACACACCTATGCAGACAGACAGTTTTACCTTTGGTTACACAAGGGAGACAAAAGACAGGAGATTGAACACCAGAGTCAGAATCAGCGCCGCAGCTTCATTTTCATTGCATTTTTAGCTGGTACTGGTACTGTTGTTGCTGCCACAGCAGTGGCTGCTGCCTCGAAGCCAGTTTCACCCAGCATGGTAACACGTTTGACTTAAAAATTCTAAAAATAATGCCGGTCGGCTTGTTGTCGTTAAAATACAAAAAAAAAAAAAGAAATAAAAGGAAAGAGTGTGCTCACAATCACAACTATATACATACCCATGCATATATGCATCTGTCTGTGCATGTCTATATGTACATATGTGTTTGTGTGGCAACAAAAATAACCAAAATGAATAACATTTCAAAGGAACGGACAAAGACGAGATGCCTTGTGCACAGGCACCCGGGAAAAGGCAACAGCCAAGAGGCACAAGCCCAGGAACAGGCAGCGGCAACAGGCACAGGCACAGGCCGGACTGCGAGCCAAGTGGTGCCCAAGTCACTCGCTTCGGCTTACACAGAGGCCCACGGAGCAGCAGCTGCAATCTGTCAGGTTTTTGCCAGGGATGCACATTATAGCCAAAATATATTACATATCAATACATGTGTATATATGCATATGAAAAGCATTTTTTTTTTTTAAATCAATATCAATCTTCTGTCTCTAAATGTTTGCTTAATCGATTTATTTCTGTTCTTTGCTCAAGGCACAGCAAATGGTTTTTAATGATTTTCTATATGCTAGAGATCGAATTTGGCATTTCAATCTGTTTGTTTCAAAAATTCAAATACAATTTTGCAGAAATTCGTTATTATAATTGCAATATATGCCATCCAGAGACCCACTCAAATAACCAACAAAAAATTTTCCATTAATTTATTCAAAAAAATTATGCATATTATATATCTAACTAGTTTACTGGACTTATCATTCACAGCTGGTACTTGAATTTCTAAGCTACGTGATAGAAAAGTATTATTATTATTAAATGTAGCAAAATTGCATTTATGAGCTGGATAATATAGCTTTCTCCAGCTATTTAGAAAAGTGCCTTTTGAAAATTTAACTTTTAAAAATGATAAAAATACATTTACTTGATTCATAATTTGAAACACACAAGTCATTCACTTTTAATGATTCATTGTGAGACCTTAGACATAGCTTTCTTGATATTGAAAAGGCAAAATGTATATATATCATAATTATATGTTATCATTATTAATATATGTTCTAGATTCTTGAAGGGAAAACACAATTGTGTGAGTCACACAAATATGTAGACCCAATAAAACTGACCACTTTTATTTAAATAAAGATTCAATATTCCAATTTATTGTTTCTGTTTTTTATATACATTGTCAAGCCAAAAGGTTATATTTCTTAACACAATATCTTAATAACTAAGGCTGCGGATATAGTGTCTGCTTTTGAAAACGCCCAGCCCTGGTTGGATGCTGGTGCGCTTGGCTGCTGAGTCTTTTTGCCCTCGTCCATGGCCCGAACCTGATGATCATGACGCTGCTTAAATGCTGTTGCTGTTCTTGTTATTGTTGTTGTTGTTGGGGGTAGCGTGTCGTGGTCGTTGTTCCCTCATCCTCATCGTCGTCATCTCTTAACGTTTGTTTGTAACAAGTATCTCGCATCTGCACCAGCACTTGTGTGTGTGAGTGTGAGAGCATGTGTGTGTAGAGAGTGCTGGGATGTTTGTCTGTTTGCGCGGGCAAAGAGTTACCTGCCGAGCGCTACCTGCGCACAGGTAGGCGTATGCTTGTTGTTGTGTGTATCTGTATCTGTATCCGTAGTATCTGTATCTGTATCCTTAGCACTGCAGCCAAGGGCAGGCAACGGTCAGCAGTAACGCAGCATCAGCAGAAACCTTCATTATGGCCATGTACATACATACACATAGAGAACCCGAAGTATCAGTCTGGTTATATGTACATAAGGGCTTCATATTCGCTTTATATATATCTCCCTCTCTGTTTCTTTCTCCAGCACTGTCATCACTGTCGCTCTTGTGGTCTTGGTATGACTTGGCATCTTGGGGTAGCTAGGCGTCTGCCTTTGCTTAATGGTTTTAGGAAATCGAAAATTAAATAATTTATCTCGGTTTTATGACGTTACAGCAGGTTTTCCCCCCACAGAGTCCAAGAACGCGATAAATCTTCAGCTTACAATCAAACCAAATAAAAACGATGCTTTTAGGTTGCTGCCTAAGCGCTTGTAATTTAAATACTTGTCTCTCTAATGCCATATAAGTCCAAGAGACGCAAGACGCCCCTAGTTTGAGTAAGACGAGCTCCCAACCCACGTCTAATCAACACAAAATGAATCAAACGGCGAGTTATTTTTAAACCAGGTCCCCCGGTCAATTTTCAATTCTTTTTCTTTTTTTGGCTGGTCATCGCTCTCGAGTGGTTAGCGACGCACGGATTTCAATCTGGGAAAGGTGCAGAGAAAGTGCCAAGACTCAGGCCGAAATAAATGTTGGAGTTGAGCTGAAGCTAGAGATGAAGTTGACTAAGAGCTTTGTCATCGTCTTGATGAAAATATGTCAAAAGACAGTCTCTGCAACTCAGCTCAACTGGTCAGCGCTCATGTGATCCACGGACTTAAGCCTAATGGCAAGCTTTAGCTGTTCAGTCAGATGGCAGCTGGCACTAAGTAGTCTTAATGTTAGCCTCAAAGTGCATATCTACTGTGTTTGAATTAATTTGCTTTCATTAGGCTCAAAGATGTGAATGAAAATATAAATATATTTTTTGGACCATTTTAGCTTTCAGCTGGGCCTCAGATATACGTTAGGTGTATAGACTTATTGAAGGACAAGAGAAAGGTTATCTTCGACTGAAGATTATATATCCCTACAAATCAGATGTGTAATGTTTTACGTCTGGCTTCAAACTAAATATATCGTGTATCTGCAGTTGAGACATGTATGTCAACTTAGAGCTCTCCCTTTTACCTATGTTTTTTTTGTTATGGTTAACAGAAATCGGAAAAAGTTTAATCGAGATTGTCTTAAACCTCAATAATTAGTTTGCATAGAAACAGATAAGTTGACAGACGGACATGACTTATTGACTTGGCTAGTGATGCAGATCATGAATACATATACTTTGTGGATTCAGAGACGTTTCCTTCAATGCGTCAGAAAAACATTTTTTTAAACTCTGGAAGGGTTTTTATTCTAGTTCAACGAGTTACTTCCAAAAATATACTAAGAATACTACAAATAATTACCCCATGAGGAATGGAATCACAGTTGATTAACATTTGCTAGACATAAATATGCCTTCGCAAGTGTAAGACATGGATCCATAAAATTAACATTCAAATATTTTTTTTCGCTAAATAATCTAGTTGAAGGTTGTCTATAAGCAAAGCTTTGACCGAATGTCAGTAGCGGATTGATTCCAATACAGGTTAAATTTAGATGAATGCAAACCTCAACAAAAAGTCAGAGCTATATCTTGCCTTATTCAGCCTTCGTTATTATAGTTCCATAAACTGCTGATTAGATAATTCTACATTTATTTAGCTTAAGTTTAGCAACAAGTTTAAAGAAGAACTGAAAAGGGTTTGTTTAGCTCATGGTTAATACAGCTTAACCTTCTCAATGCCATACCACATGGTTGGGTATGGGTTCCTGGGCTTGCGTCGTTCTATAATGTTGCTGAGCAGCGGCACTATCGTCGCTAGTGGCTCCAAAAGATTCGCGTAAAGCTGGAACAGCTCCGACCACTGAGTCAGCACGTCCTTCAGCTGCTCATCTTTAGAGATGGTTAATAACGTAATGTGGGAGGTCAACAGGGCGCCCAACCATTGAAACGCTTGCAGCTCTGTGATCGTGTTGCCAAGACAAGCCGTATTTTGATTGGGACGCTCCTCGAGCAGCACATCCCTTGCAGTGGCTAGCATGTACAAATGGCTGAGCAAGCGCTGGACATGAGAGAGTTCCAGGCGCTGTTTCAGATGCTTCTCAATGGCAACTGCATTGAAACTGCAGGCGAGAACCGCATTAAGCAGTTCATTGTCTGACGATGCCTGGCCTTTGTCCTCTGTTTCCATGGCTTCGCCATTGGTAGCAGAAGCAGCTGAAGTGGTGTCCAGCGCATAGCGCAAGCACCAGGCCAGCATGTGCTCGGAGATGTTCATGTAACGTCTCACACACATTAGTACATGCTCTGTGTTTTGGGTTTTAATGAATAGCGTGAGCAGCTTCTCTGTTATCTCCTGTTCACCAGCACCACTGCGCTCCAGTTGCCTGACAATTGACTGCACCGCCAAGTTCTGTGGTCCCGTATCGAAATAGTTGCTCATCAGCATTACATTGACGTCCTCCAGTCCGTTGTCCACATGGACCAGTTCACCATCCACGTGCTGTTTGATGAGTTCGTTTACCTCATGCTGCGATATTTCAGACGATTCAAAGGCCACAGTTTTGCCATTGGCTGGCGGCAGATCGGCCAGCGGTTGCTTCAACAGCTTGGCTTGCTTGACGGTGTTGTGCACGCGACTGTTGCCCGCAAATTTAATGGCCGCCTCCAGGGATTCCTCCTCGTTTATGTGGTCCAGCTCAATGGGCGTCAAGTGGGCATCGCTCAACTGTGAGCCGAGCATATCCACCAGCAATTCGTCATTCATGCGATAACGTACCGCGGCAATGTTCTGGCCCATAGCAAGCAGAATGTATTCGTCGCGCGCCCACAGGCGCGAGAAGTCCAAATAAACCTTGAAGTACTGCTTGGCATTGACTACCTTGAACTGGGTGTTGTACACCAGCAACGAGGCTCCCTCCTGGCCATAGTTGGCCCCGTAAATGGCCGCAAAGTTGCGCGACAATCCGTAAACCGACAATTTGCTCTCTACATTCAGTTCGGCGAGCATCGAAACAAATTGACCCGGTGCCGTTTCGTGTGAGCGCTCGGCGAGACTTAGCATGAAAATGCGCTTGTCCGACCCTGTGGCAAACAAGATTCAATTTTTATCAATATATATTATTTACAAGAATATATCGCTACTCACAAATGGTCATGAGTTGAGGGCCTGCATCGCCTTCGATGACGGCATGGCCAGTTAGTCGCACAACTTCCCTCTTGATGACATAGGCTCGCTTGTGTAAATTGGACAGTGATCGCCGCATGAGGAACAGTTCGCCGGTGGCGTGTTTCTCCTCAAAGTAGGTGAGTACCTTTTGCCCGTCGGGGAGCGAGTGCACCGTTGGTTTGCTCAGCGTCTTGCTGGCAGCCAAGGCCAATTGCTCCGCAGTGTTCTCCTTTTGATCCTTGCGCGACTCCAAAGCTTTTGACAGCGGCTGGCAGAAGCCATCGCTATATAGGACAACAGCCTCCTCGTCTGTGGCCACCACATGGGCGATGCTTTTCTGGAACTGTGTACAAGGATACTTGTCAATAATTCACCAAACAGAAAATTACTAAAAAGAACCTTTAGCTTCTTGCACTTGGCCACATCGACTGTGTCCACATCCCAGAGGCGAAGCGCGTGGTTGCCAAAGACGCCGACGTATTTGTGACTGTGTGCATCGTAGATGACTTTCGTAGACAGCTTCTCTGGCAGGGACCAGCTGTGCAGCTGCTTATGTGTGCTGATCTGAAATTGTTTGCTTGCTTATTAATATTTTGGTTATTTTAAAATTTCCAACTCACATTTAGAATAACAACAACATTGCGTGCCAGCGTTGTGATCACATTGCCCTTTTCTCTGTCTGCAGCCATGCCCAGAAACTCTTTGGGATCCGGTATGGGAAATAGATTGTAGTATGATAAGAATTTCGACATTTTATGCAATTTGTTTAATAAAATTCGAATCAAAACAAATGTAACACGTGCGGTCAAATGGTGGTGAGATTTGACAGAGGGCAATATTACTTATTAATCGATAGTTCTGCAAAAATATCGATAGTTGATCACCTAGCAAAAAATGCATTTAATTTAGTTCGAATAAGTATTGTGGGGATACGAATTTCATTTGATTTTGTTAATAATATATGCATATGTGAGTCTGTTATTATTATACCTTTTTATGTGCAGATTGCGAAAAGTACTCAATAATAGTATGGCTAAGAAAATACTAAGCAGCTGTTCGAGGCGTATGTGTGACTGTGTGACTGTATGAGTTTTCACATTTAGATCCGTACGGTCACATTGCTAACTTAGTCCAACGTGTTAGAATGGGTGGAAAAACGAAACAAGCGCCGCGCACCAAAAACAATGCAAAGGTAAGCATTAAAGCCGAGCCAGACAATCTGATGACTAATCTGTTATGTTGGAATTGTCATTAGCCGTCGAGCAGCAGTCGCTCCGCTGAGCTGCTGGGCACCACAACGCCCATATTTGTGGGTTTCTCGGCGCAGGCCGATGGAAACTTGGTGCCCTTTGCGCCTGGCTTCGCCAGCGCAGAGCAAATGCCGGACACATTTGATGCCAGCATCGATCCACAGACACAGATCATACTGCGCAAGCTGTCTAAAAAGGATCCCATGACCAAGAAGAAGGCGCTGCAAGAGCTGCACGAACTCATCACAGACTCGGATCTGGATGCACTGAAGAACATTTTGCCCCTTTGGCCCAAATACTATCACAATCTGGCCAATGACGTTGAGCACTCGGTGCGCGAGCAGACGCAGTTGGTGCTGCAGCTACTCGTCTCGAAATGCAAGCGTGCCATGGCACCGTTCCTCAAGCAACTAGTGCCCGTTTGGTTGGCCAGTCGCTACGACAGCTATGCGCCTGCCGCGAGCATAGCCAGCAACTCGTTCCGAGAGACTTTCGCACGCACATGTGAAGTGTGCTTGCATTGCCAGAACGAGATAATTGAGTACTGCACTCGCAACTTGACATTCCATACGCCGGCGACGCTGTCAGTGGGCAAAAGTCTCAAGCCGGAGGAGTCGGAGCAAAAGTATCAGCGTGTCGTCATCAGCAGCTTCAAGGTCTTGTCTTTCTTCATGGAGCAAACAGCGCAGGCGACAGAACAGGATCAATTGAAGCAAGGCCTAACCGCACTTTTGGCGCATCAGAAGTTCTGGACCTTTGCCAAGCACAAGCAGCCAGCCATCAAGTAACAAAAATAAAACCATACCAAATGGCAAACATTTGTAAATTTATTTGAGTGTTTATTTTCATTGTAGAGCCGCCTGGTTTGAGTGCATCTATCATCTGCTACAATGCCCTACACTGCTTGAGGTGCTCACGCCTCACAAATCGCAACTGATCACGGCCAGTTTTCAGTTCATCGACGATGCTGATCCACTAGTTGCACCTCACGTTTGGGGCTGTGTACTGCTGCTGCAAAGCAACTACGAAGATTGGTATGAAAATATTGATTATACACAGTTGCGGTCAAAATAATAGATATGCTGCTTCATAAAATGAAAATTCTTAATATTTGCATAAAACCTTGGACTCTTCGACATATCTCTTCATATCCCTTTTTGTATTTTACCGATTACTTTTGTTGCATCTCTTTTGGGCTGTTGAATCTAAGTGTCACAATTATGACACGGTCAAAGCAATAGTACTGCTGGTGAAAATAGTCGAAATATTTAAAACTGAACGAGTTTATTAAGAGATTATTAACTCCAATAATACATTAGTCACTTAATTGTTTACCCAAAAGAATTTTATGGTGATAAAATGGCAAACATTGAACTGTTGAATATCAAGACACCTTATAAATATTCAATATGTACAAAAATTGAATTCAGCAATGCGACAAATGGTTGGTTGCTCATCGGGGAATGATTTAAAATTTTTTTACCTTTTTTTTTTTATACCAATATTTTAACATTTTCCAAGACATATGTGTGCACTACTATTATTTCAACCGGAGCTATATATAGATAAACCGGATTTATATAGATACAAATATTTTTTATTAGTTGTTCTTGTGTATGTAATTACTGATGACTCTCACCTAGATCGTATTATTATTTCTGCATTGCTCATTGCATGGCGACTAGTAAATAAATATATATAAAAAGCTTAAGTTTAAAGTTAGACTTCGAGAATTTCCCTTATTTATTAACCAATTTGTCTTGTTTTTTAGGTACGCTTCGCTCAATATTCGCAAGGCGCTGCTGCCAAAGCTCTCATCCCTTTTGCGGAATGGCTTTAATCGCAATGCTCAGGCCATTTGTCCGAATCTGTTGCCGTTTCTATCGAAAATAACAGTTGAAAGTTTGCATGATTTAGATATTTACGAGTTCTATCAGCGCTTCTTTGATGACCTGAAGACAGCCGTTGTGGGAACACATGATCCTCCACTTTCCAAATCGGACACTTCCCTCATGCACAATGCTTACTTTGAGTGTTTGCGCTTTATGCTGCAACAGATTAACAACAATACGCTGCGCACGGCTCAAGTGGAGGAATTTGCTTTTGGGCTGCTCGAGCAGCAGTTGCTGGAGCCCATAGGACAACTGCTGCGCAGTGATGGTGCCCATGTTAAGTACTTCTTTCAGCACACTTCGGCGCTTATTGCGTTCTGGGATCGTCAGTGCAATAATGATGTCGATAAGAGCTCCAGCACTCTGTATGTGAAATTATTGAATAAGTTCTGGACGCGCATCTTTGAGCTGGTCACACAGGATCTCGCTGTTGAAGATGTCAATGAGCAGCTGCTGTCACATGTGCTGATGCTGGTGCAGGATTTGCATGTGGCCAATCCCAGCCTCGAAACGCAGAACGTCAAATTCGTGGACTCGGACGGGGAAAAAACTACAGATCAGAGCTCACAACACTCAACGCCCACAAAAAAGGTGCACGAAGCGGCCGCTTTCATACAAAAGGAGCTCAAGCAGCTGGTCGTTAAGCTGGTCTGCATTTGCATGGACAAGGCGGGCAGCAGGACCAGCTCCTCCGTTCGCTTCATCAGCCAGGTGCGCACGCTGACCAAAATGTTCTCGGATGCCGACTTCTACAAGAGTCTAACGGAAGCGGGTGAGCTGCATGCTACACTGGATAAATTTGTGGCGCTGTTGGAACAGCTCAGTGATGACTCCTGCGAGTCTGTGATGGATATACTCTTTGAGATCCTCTCGCTGCTGAAGCCAGAAACACGTTTCGAATACATTGCTGAAAACTTGTTGAAAGTAAGTAAAAAAGTAGAAAATTAACTAAATTAAATTAAATTTTAATTTATAAATGTCAATTAAAAGAATAACTATTATTTATTAATTTAATATATCATTTAATGGTCTGGCATGAATTGAAGAAAACCGAGAAAAAAATAGTATGCATTAGTAGATGCAAAACCACAAACGCATGTATATTATTCACGAGACAATACGTTTAAAATGTAGTTGTTAATGATAGAAATATAGGACTGTGAATTGATAAATTGATAAATTCTATTATAATCATTACTGAATAATTCTAGAGGGAACAGAAAAAATAATGTTGCTCAAGAGCGTTGCTAAATTGGAATCAAAACATCCGCGAAACGACTAAAGTGATCTCTCGGAATCTTTCAGTCTTATCAATCTGATTCGCAGTTTAAATAATATATTTACAGTCGTACAGACAGACAGCCAGACTGAGACTGCACAAAGCCCATAAAGTAAATTAATAAAAATGATTTTGTTGCAGATCCAACAGCATCGCGTGCAGAATCTGTTGCTGCATCGTCTGCTCTCTTACCCACTATGCACAGAGCCTGTCGTTCGTCAAATGCTCGCCAGCCCGGAGACTTGTGCTGTAATCGGACGCATTGCGGAGGAGGTTGTTGTGGATAACAATCGCGATAAGTTGAACTTGCTGCACAAGTGTTTCTTTCAAACGGACACCGGTGATATTCTAATCAATGTGTCCACCGTTGACAAAATTTTGCTGGCCATGTGCGCACCACTGGAGCAATCCGATGCCAGCGAGATGATTGAGGTGTGTGGGAGCTTTATAGCACAGATTATGCCCGTTATATGTAGCAAGGAGAATTCCTCTCTGGCAGTGCGTCAGCATGTATTTTTGAGGCTATACAAGTTTAGCCTGGAGCGACGAACGTGCGATTATCTGTCGGAGGACACACTATGGGAAATAACCACCTGCTGGCAGGATGCGCTCTCCAGCAAGGACATCGAAATCGACGACGATCTGCTGCACAGTTGTGCCAACATTGTGGAAGACATGGCACAGCATGCTGAGATAGATGCCAGCAGTCTGGAATGCATGGCTGAGGCTATCGCAAAATTCGTCATCTGCTCCACGGAGAACATTGAGGAGGAGTCGCAGCGCTCATCCCGCATAGAGGAGAGCATTGTGGCCCTGCTAAATTCTAAAGTGAAGACAATCGATAGTGTGCTGCAATTCGAGCAGCATTGTGTTTATCTGGAGACCTTGAAGATTTCCATCAGTCCGGGAGCAATCCTCGAGAGCGCTTCCTTGGATGAACTTAATATTCTACCTCTGCTGCGACGCACGGCACTGAATTTTGCAACCATCTGCAAGCTAGTCTGCCGCGTCAACAGTCCGCCGCTGGCACAGAAGTCAAACGAGGGCGAGGATGAGCTAACCGAAGACTACTGTGATCCCAATGCAAATCTGCTCAAGCAGTGGAGTGAGTCCTTGATTTTAGAACTACTGCAGTGCATGCAGGTGGCAGCTGCTGCAGAGACCTGGTTGGAAGTCAGTCCCCAGTTGAGTGCCGATTGCGAAGAGCTTGTGCTGTGCCTCTCCGAACAGGTTCGTTGCCTTATGGGCAACAGCAGTGAATTGGTGGACATTGTAAAGCAGCGACTACAGCAGACAGCAGCGCAAGAGAAGAGTGTGATGAGCTGCCGTCTGTTGGGCTGTCTGGTGCACCACGCACAATATGCGGCTTTTGAGGAAAGCGCCGCAATTCTATTGCACGAGGATCTCGCCGAACTGCTGGTCTCGCAAGGTGCTCTCAAAGCTTATGTGATGACTTTGCAGGTGAGCAATGGATGCTGATTCAAATACTAATGAGCTTTTATTATATTTTTTTGGTTCTTTGTTTTTAGCATTTGCTGCCAAAACTCTCACAAAAGGCGCTTAGCTTAAATAGTGCCATTATGCGAACGGAACCACCTGAAATGTGGGTTAAGGCCGCTGTCTTCCGCTGCTTGCTGCTCAATAACTTCCAGTCAGAGCTCAATGAGCCAACGGACCACAGCATTATTGTCTCAGCGCTGCAGTTTTTGACACGAGTTAATGAGCAACAAAGTGTGCAAAAAGAGCTGCTTCACTATAATGTGTAAGATTACCAAATCTTATGAATAATAACTATTAAATTTGTACTAATTACTATTAATCTAATCACTTTTCAGTGAGTTACTTAAGCAGCCTTACGAAGCAGTCTTAAATACCGTAGAGATAATTCAACTGCTCAACGAAATTCTGCAACGATTTCCATATGAGCTAACCATAAAAAACTGGGATGCCATACGCATTGGCATCAGCTCCTGGGTGCTGACGGTCTCCAAGTCTATGAAACATTATAGCGATCCAAAGGTGCGTATTGTAGAAAGTGTGACTTTGTGCACAGAACCTCACCATTTTTTTTTTAAATAATTTTTACCTGAGGTAAAAAAGCGAGCGGGTGCAGAACCTTAAAAAGAGATTATTTGTACTTTTCCTTTAAAATATTGTGACTGTAGCTCTAAAATGTTGTATCAATTGAATACAATATGCAACAGGCTCCAAGATTGACGATTAAACTTATTCGAAGCTCAAACATAATTAAACCTTCTAAAAATATCGTGGATCATTTTTTAGAACCTCTATCTTCCATAATTTGTTACTTAAAGTTATGGACAGAATAAGAATTCTAAGAATGACTATATAAGGCACACCGAAGATTACAAACTCTCACAGACTTAATTAAGAAATTTAAAAAACTGACTGATTGTTCTCCTATGGAAGCTATATTCTATATATATATGTTCGATGTTGATAATTAGTGCTCAATTGTTAGGAACACAACTAGTAAGTTTATTTTGATTTCTCGGTAAAAAAAGAAGTTTTTCATCCAAGAACTCATGCTTATCAGCTCGCAGACCTTCACTATCGTGTATCTTATATTGGAACAATCTGTCGGTTTATGATATGAATATTGTATTTATATGTGAGCATGCTGACTCCAGTCTGCGAAAGTTTATGTAATCTTCGGCGTGCCCGAGACTAAGTTACATTTACAGTTAATGTATATTCATAAATAAGCAATATTAAGTATAATAACAAAAAAAAAAAAGAAGATATATTATTATTATGAACTATATTAACCACCTAATTTATATATAATAATAAATATAATTATACTTAATTATAATAACATTATTATAGGCTATGTTAACTACCTAATTTTTATATTATCAAATTTGTAGACATCTTTCTTCGTTGTGGCTGTGTATCAACTTTTCGCTACGCTGATTACTTTTATACGCTCGGAGAAGCAAAAGAGCTCAACGCAGCTCCTGAAGAATGTTATCGACGAGTGGGAGAGCTTGTTTGCCCGGGAAGTCAACGTGTTGCTGTTCAAATCATATTATGATCTGACTCACGAATCAACTGTGCCGACAGAACGCCGTGTGTGCTACGAAGCACTGCTGGAGCGTCTAATGCCAGGGCTGGAAATGGTGGAATACGGCTTTGTCTATGGGGTACAAATGAACTAATTACAATTAAATTATTGCCTATTTCAATTTGCTTTTTTTCACGCAGTTCGCCAAAGCACCCAGCTCAAAGCTGACACTGGACTATCTGTGCAACTTCCTGCTGAAACAACTTCACAGCTCACAGCACAGCGTTCGTCTTAATGCGGTACATTCTTTGCGCCAGTTGACGCCACAGTTTGTGGCTGACGATATTGAGTTGAATGATAAGAACAGCGATAACATTGATACCGCTGCATCTTCGACAATCTCCAAGTGGCATTTTCTCAATCGTTTCGAGGATTATTTGAATCGCTATGATGCACTTATACGCAAATACTTGAAGGAGTTCAGTTTCAAGCTGACCGAACTGGAGGATCTAGAGCCAATTGACAGACACGACGCCTACAGTTATTTGCTAATATGGGATTGTATTATAAATGCCTGCGCCAAGTCGCCAGTTGCACTGCGATCCGTCTACACCAGCTGGTTGAACGACAATCACTTCGAAGAGGTGAGATCTTAGCCGACACTACATGTTTACTAATGATTTGTTAAAACTTGAAATTTTATAATTAATTGACAGAATTTTCTGCACTTCCTCTTTCGTGCCATGCCGATGGACATATTGAAGAACCATAGCGCCAAGGTGATTAGCAATGGTGTCTACAAGGAGCTTAGCTGGTCTCAACTGAAGGGTGAGTAACGGCATTCAATGCTTTGGTTAATTAATCAGCGTCTCTTCCGAGGGCAGATTCTCCACATCGCGTAAATAGTCGTCATCATAGTCCTCATATTCACTCATGCCAATGTTCAAATCACTTATCATTTCTTCGCAATTATCTTCTGATAGCGAAATGAAGTCAGTTACTGGTACAAATCTTTCATCGTTGTCATGCATTGAGCGCGCCACGGGCATTGGTTTGGGTGCCATGTATATGTTCAAGTTAGATATGAACTTGTTTATCCAAACTGTGAGATTGTTGGCCAAAATACGTTGATAGTCGCGCAAGTTGCTTGTAGTATAGAACTCTTGTTCTGCAAATGCAAAAAATAATATAAATAAATGTTGTTCCTGCAGGTAATTGGGTAAAGACCAAATATTATTTTTTATAACATTTAAACTGATCCGCAAATGTCATCAAATATATAATTCAGCATACAAATTACTTACTTATGTACTGAACTCACCCGTAAATTCCTGGATGCGCTCCAATATCACAGCAGACAGTGGCGATTGCTCGTCAATGATGAACTGGTCGTTCAAAAGGAATTCTTTCATTTCCTCAAAGAGAACGCAAACAATTTTCATCATCTGCTTGCGTTGACGCTCTATAATCAGGTTTCTTAGTGCCTTGCAGCGTTTTCTGTGTTTCTGTCTTTGGACGCGACGTTGTCTCATCTCCTCCTCCAAATACTCCATTGCCTTTTCCATGGTCATCGCTTCAACGGGAGGCTTGGGTTTCAACTGCTGTTCCAGCGCCGTCAGATGACGTTGGGAGAGAATATGTTTGAAATAAGTAAATGTATCCTTGACTCGCATCGGATGCGGATTAGCCAGTCGCTCCATGCGGGCCGTGCATATGGGCACATAGATCTTCTTGGTTATGTATCGCGGCCGTCTGAGCCGCAGCGGTGACAAAAAGTTCTTTTTTGGTGTCGCCAGGAAGCAGGTGTGCTCTTCCCGCTTCAGCATATCGCGATCGATAATAATCTGGCCGGTGTGCTGGCAGGGCACGTAGCAGGGATGATAGCGTGGACACACGCAAAAGTATTTATACATATGTTGCGGCTCCGCTATCTGTGACCTGACCAAACGCTTAATTCGCGGCGCGCGATTTGGTCGCAACTGAACCATGGCGAGGCGTGCGTTTAACTCATCCGCCACAGTGACTGCCGATTTTTTGACATTACGTTCTGGCGGCGCAAGATCGCTGGGAAACTTTGTAAAGTCGATGATCTCAGCGACGGTTTTCTTCTTCTCGGCATCCAGCTTAATTTCGCGAGCTGGCGCCTCGCTAGCGATTTTGTAAAAGTTCAATGGTTTTTTCTCCATTTTTGAGAGAAATTTGAAAATTATTTAGCAAAAGAAACAACACAACAAATGTATCACAATGTGAAACTAATTTTATATTGTCTACAAGGTCCTGTGAATTTGTTTGTAACGGCCTGCTTATATAACAAGGTATTTCTAAAATTGATTTCCATTATTCTCGGCACAGATCCTCACCTCTCTCTGGAGCGATATGCTTGCCACCTGTATACAGAAGTGTTGCGCAAGTTGCCCGCCGTGGTGCGTAAATGGTGGAACACCAGTCCGTCCAGGCAGAAGAACTTTGTGGACAATCTTACTACCAATTACGTGAGCGCATTGATCTGCAGCGAGGAGTTGAAGGCAATCGCAAATCGCAAGGAGAAACATGAGAATATGCAGGTGGGTTGCTTTGCTTTCAGTTTTCTTTAGTTGCTACCACGTCTCTCTAAATCGTCTCCTCGATGCCAACGCGTAATACAAAAATCGTAACGATGCCGAGCAATAGCACTACAATTACAACGGCTCGGAAGATTTCCAACGGTATCATGTCGCAACATAAACTCCGTTAACTTTTGATATTCACACTCAAACGAAAGCACACAGCAGCAAAAGCTACTTAGTTAGGAGAAAGGTGCTCTCAATTAATTCAATGGAATTCTTTATGGTCTACCCAATTTTTCAGCTGGCAAGCTTGAAGTCAATGTTTTGTTTATTTAAGAATACACAAGAAGTTATATCTTCAATAAACAGTATTTGGTTTACATAAATAAGCTCAATTTTTTTCGTATAATATCAATATTTAATTCAGTAAACGTAAACATATTTTTGTTAGCTAGATAGTATGAAGTAGTAAAGCCTACCTATATAAGTATGCATAATATTGTCAATCCGTTTTATTATAATGTTATTATATTTTTAGGTGACGGTGCACACGTCCACTCGAGAAGTGTTGGCTGTCTATGCGATCGATGAGGCACGTATGGAGCTGGTCATTACACTGGCTCCCAATTATCCGCTTGGCGCTGTCAAAGTCGACTGTGGGAAGCAAATTGGCGGACGCGCCAGTTCACGTAATGTTGGCATGCAGCTTACCATCTTTTTAACGCATCAAGTGAGTGTAGAGTTTTGACTTATAAAATATGGGATAATTTCACTGATTGCTGAACAGAATGGCACTATTTACGATGGTCTGACGCTGTGGAAAAACAATCTGGATAAGAAGTTCGAAGGCGTGGAGGAATGCTATGTTTGTTACACGGTCATACACCAGGACACCTGCCAGCTACCAAAGTTAACGTGCAAAACATGCAAGAAGAAATTCCACGGGCCCTGTTTGGTGAGCTTGCTAAAAATTCAATTTAGAAATGCCTCGCTTATCAAAAAATTCTTTCCCGCAGTACAAATGGTTCACCACCAGTAGCAAATCTACCTGTCCCATTTGCCGCAATGTTTTCTAATTGATACACTTCATTGATCCAGCTCATCGACACGTATTAAACTCGGCACAACGAAAGCCTTGGCGATAGTCAATAGATTTAATTTTTGGCCCCTTCCTGTAAATCGGTGTATAACCGCAATAAATTCGCAATAGTTTTAATTTTCAACTTTTGCATGTTTACTGGCACTTTTAATGGTTTTGTTAATATATATACTATTATATATATATTTATTTATATTTGAAAGTACAGTAAATTGGTATTGCATACTTATTTTTTTATATATATTGGAATGAGTATGTATACTAAATGTGCATGGCACAAGTAAAGTGTATCCATGTTTCTCTATGTATATGTATATATATGAAACACTGTGCTTGCAAGCAGTGCAACAATTATTCTCTTGGGAGTAGTGTGATCTATGTTTTGTCTGAAAAATAGAAAGCTGATGCATGTTGAACGGCAACTACAATTTGCGAGTCATTATTATTCTAAAGAACAGTGCCAGCAGAAAGTGTCTGACTCTTCAAAACAGTACAAAGAAAACCTTAATGCACACTTTCTAAAATCTCTCAACATGCTATGGGCTTGAATTTGTTAAAAAATTATATCCAACTTAGCAGTTCATACATAAAAAACGAACGAATAAATATACTAACAATAATGGCGAAGCGAGTTAATATTATCGGATGCTGCGCATTGTGCGATCGTGAGGTGGGCAGTGATGGGCGTCCTATTAATGATTTTAAAACACTGTCAGATAAACTAGAGGAGACCGAGTCCACAATATCAAATGCTAGTGTGGAGTCAATGTGTGTGAGTTCCCAGTCAATTGGATCACAAGAGGAGATTGGCGAGTCGGTTTCTGACTTGTTGGATGGTGGATATTTTCCGGAAACAGCTTGAGGGGGAAAAAAAGAATGCTGATTTCGTTATGAATGAGCTGAGGGTGGAGAAGGTGGCATGTGAAAAACATTTGCATCACTGCGACTTCGAAGGCGCAGACCAAGCGGCAGAAACGTTAGTCAATATTACTCCAATAGAAGCAATACCCTAAAACATTTTCAAATTTCATGTTATTACATTCAAAAATCACCCACGTACATAATTTGACACTTTTTATTTTAAGCTGCCATCTTTGTTCCATTAACATATTTGCAAATATATTGGAATAATGAGGTTATATATTTTATTTCTTTTGGACAACTGACTGACAAGTCAGCTTGCTCCTTAAATGTTACCTATCAAATTAAGATTTAATTTGAAAAGAAACTATGCTGAAGGAGAAGTTTGATCACCTTTTAAACTTAAAATTCAATTGGGTATCAATTCCATTCGAAAATTATTTTCAAAATCATTGACTACGGTTGAATTTTCAGTTAAGCACTGCATGCACATTAGACCAACCACCGTAAAGTTCACGATTCTGCGCTGTAGCCGCTGTAGTGGGTCTTCCTCTTTAGCTCTACTGCTCGGGTTGGGGTGGGGCACGATGACGATGACGATGACAAGGAACGCATCAGTTTTGCATTGCACTTTGGAGGGGTTTGTTTGTTAACTGAGATTAGGCACGCCATCTCGCTCGATATTCAGCGCCGGGCCATGCGTTAAGCCAAAATGACGTAAGCTTCCCATGAATAATATGTCAACAGCTCAACCGAAACTTGGTCAGCGTGTACAAGTAACGGGAAAGAATCAACTTTGCGGTCGTATCGCCTATGTGGGACGCACCAGTTTCGCTGGCGGTCAGTGGTTTGGCATTGTGCTGGATGAGCCGCGTGGCAAAAATAATGGCACCATTCGCGGCAGCACCTACTTTAAGTGTCCGCCCAACTATGGACTCTTTGTGCGTGCCCAACAATTGCAGCTGCAGTCGCCTGTCGTGAATCAGTTGGAACAGCTGAAAAAGCAGGACAACAATCGCTTAGAGGAGGACATCATGCAACGCGATGTGAGCAAAGTGAAAATGCCTGCGAGAGCCAGAAGTAGACAGCCAGCGGAAGAACAAGTGAGTCACTCCTACAAATATGCGCACAGCTGTGAATTTTATAAATGTCAAGATGTAATCATACTGTGTGGGTGTATGCTTCATAAATTAGAAATACATCTTACCATATGTTCTATGTTATTTTGTATGTCACTTTATGTTCTTCCAATTCCACTCGTGCTTAAGTTAATTGAAATTTATTTCGCATAGCGTAATCAAAGGGAGGTGACAACTTTATCTGGAAAGTCTGCAAAAAAGTCATCAGAGAATGCGACCTCTTCGGTGATTTTCACTCAATCACAGTCGCAAACACAGCCACTGGCAAATGTAATGCATATACAAATATCATTAAAAAAATTATTCAATAAATATTTAATATTCTTCTAACAGCATAGTACTGAGGAAGAGCTGGACACGTCGTCCAAGACGTTGAGTACTCATCAGCAGCCATTTGTGGCATCTACGTCAACCAATATTTTATCGCAGTCGCAGCAGCAGCAAACAATTGCAAACAATGCAACAGCTGCAGGAAGTCATCTACAAGCGACAGAAGCGAGTGTCGCCTCACAGCCGCCTCAAGGCCAAGGTCAGAGGCTGGCCAGGTGGGAGCAACTCGGAGAAGTGCGGCAGTCATCGATATTGACGCCACCCACTATGACATGCAATCAACGGCGCTCCACATCCTATACACAGCTGCGGCCGACACGGATTAGTCAGCCCAAGCCAACGACAGCCCAGGCTCAGAGCTCGACGGCACAGTTGACTCTGGCCATGCCGGTGCCTCTGTCATTGGCGCCCAAGCGCAGCAAGACGAGCATGAGTCCCACGAGTAGCGGCGTGAAGCGAGTGGCACCCGCTGCATTTGTGGAAGCTGGTTTCTTGGAGATACTGCGACCGCAGTTTACGCCGGGTCCGGCATTGCGTACTCCGAGCACAGTGGCACCACCTGTGGCGCCTGTGGATAGTGCGGAGCAGCGGCAACTGCGTGAGGAGCTGCAATTGCTGCGCGTGCAAAGGAGTGAGGATAAATTGAAGCTGCTGGAACTGGAGCGCATTAAGATACAGAACGAGCAGCTGCTCGAGTTCAAGGCGCAAATTATGACGCAGCAGGTGCTGCTGCAGCGGGAATTGCAACGCTGTCGTCACGAGCAGCGCGAGTCCCAGGAGACTGCGGCCAAATACAAACGGGAGCTGGACGACGTGGCCGAGAGCATTGAGTTGTTAACACTGGACAAGGAAATGGCCGAGGAACGTTTGGACACCCTGCAAATGGAGCTGGAAACTGCACAGGAGCGCAACGATGAGCTCACCCTCGATTTAGAAATTGTGCGAGCTGAGCAGGAACAGGAGCATCAGGGCGATGACCATCTTCTAAATAAGTCTGAAAAGCTTTCGGCGAAGGAAACGACACTGCAGACAACTGGAGAGTTCTTGCGCCTGGAGCAGTACAACCAGAGATTGCGAGAGACGGTGGTCCGACTGCGTGATACCCTAGCACTTGAGAAGCAGTTGGCACAGCGCACGCACAAGGAGCTGGAGACGAAGCACTCGGAAATCAACGAACTGAAGAGCATCAAGGAATTGCAGAGTCGGCGGGTGGATCAGATGGAAATGCAGCTGATTGATCTCAAGGAGCAGGTGGATGCCTCGCTGGGCGCCGAGTCTATGGTAACGCAGCTGGCCACGGTTAAATTGGAGTTGGAGGAGCGTGTCAAACTATTGGAAGATGAGGTCTCTGAACTGGAGGCACTCGAGCAAATCCAGGAACAGCTCATAGAGAGCAATCAAGAATTGGAATCGGACTTGCGTGATGAAGCTGAAAAGCTCAGTGGCCAGCTCAAATCCTTAGAGCAGCAGAAGAATGCGGCCTTAGAAAGTCTCTACGATCGTGATGTGACTATACTGAAGTTCCGGGATCTGGTGCGTCAGCTGCAGGAGCAACTACAACTCAAAACAGACGGCGGCACTCTCTCCATCGAAGACTTCAGCAGCGCCAACGAATCGCAGCAGGAGGAGACATCCCAGCAAAGCATTGCGGACTACCAGCACATCTTCAGTGTCAGCAAGGCCTACGGACGTGCCTTGGATCAACAGCTGAAGGCCGTCGAACTGCGCCTGCAGCGTCAGCACCTGGACCACTTACTCACCTTTGTGCCGGAGCAGTTCCTCCTTCGAGGAGGCGAACACGATGTCGTCCTAGTCATGCTTCTACTGGAACGTATGAACGACAAGCTTGAAATCGTCTGCCAGGCAATCAATGAGAAATTTCCAAATGCCTGTGAATTTGGTGAGTACTAATCCCGTTTGCGTACTAATTAGACAACACGTCAGAGCTATGCGTTCAAATGATTTGATTGAATGATTTGATTGTTTGGCTCAAGATAGTATTGTGAAAAATAAACTATTGTTATGAGTTGAGTTTTTCTTATAAGTTGAGTTCTTGTATCAGCCACTTGTTTGTTTATAAAGATAACTTCAAAATAATTTTCTTTTACTGCATTGAGCATTTGGAAAATAGGGGTAAATGCCGTCATATAGCCCAATAAATTGGTGTATCCTATTATTGAAGGAGAAGTCTTTGACCCCATAATCTATACTCGAATATATTCTAATCTCTTAGAAGCTTAAAGAGCTTCGTTCATTTAGCTGCGGGCAGAACCTATGTCAAAGTCATCAAATCAAAATGGCATTGTACATTTGAATTATGTATTTATTTATTTAATGTCGACACAGCAAAGTACACAAAGTAGAAAACAAATTAAATGTAAATAAAGATAAAAGTTAAAATTTAAATTGAAATTAAAAAATAAGAAATATTTTCCAAATTGATGTTGAATGAATTGGGGAAAACCCAGAAAAATCCATTGCAAGAGAAATTTGAATTCTTAATCATAGAGCCCTCTGTCTATGTAAAGTTTACATATGAATTGGTCAGTCGTCAGTTTATAATTAAATTTCCGATATAAGCATTCGAAGTTCGCTCCGCAAAGCAATGTAATTTTCGTCTTGCTGTATGCTTTTTTTTGTATAAGTATTTCATTGTGATATATGGATGTGGACTATATTTTGTGACTTCTTTAAACCTCGCCAGGTCGCGATGCCATCTTCGAGGGCTATTCGGTACAGCGGTATATCTTCCGGGCTCAATGCATCTATTTGTTGAAGAGTCTCCAATTGGTGCTGCAACAGTTTCGCCATGGCCTTAATCACTGTGATTACGAGCTGTGCACGCATGCGGCCATATATCGCATGGATTTGGAGACGCAGGAGCAGCAGCTGGATGAATTTGTGCGTCTGCTGAAGACCGGTCAGCTGGACGAGCATACCAATTGCGAGCCTATACGCCGCGTCCTGCACTACATCAATGGACTGCACCAGAATCTGATGCCGCCTCAGACGCTGGTAGATCTACTGGATGAGCATCAGCTGTATGAAACACTAGTCGAGGTCTACGAGGCGGGCATGGATGCGGTGAATGCCAATGCGGGCATGCTACACACCATCATCAAGTTGGGTGACGAGCAGACATCCTCGTTCCAGTCCATGCAGATGCTCATGGAACACTCCTGTGCCCTCAAACAAAAACTGAAGAAGGTGCAGCGCAAGCTGAGCGGCAATAAAACTGCAGCTGCCTGGACGGGCATGCAATGTGCACGCTACCAACGCATCCTGGAGGCCAACGAGGCCCTCGGCGCGCTCATCAGTATTCTGGGCGTGTCGGCGCGGGAGGCCAATAAGGAGTCGAATGGTGGCATTGCGCATGAGAAGCTCTGGCATCTTTTGAGTCTGAACTATAGTAAATTCGCGCCCAGTCAGGACACCGAGCAGCGGGAACTGGATGTTTTTGGTCAGCGCTGTATGAAGCTGCTTGAGGAGCAGCTGGAGGAGCTGTGCACGCTTCTGGAGCCCCGGGACGTCAACACGGAGTACGTGCGACATGCCACTTGCAACACGCTACAGCACAGAGCCGCCCAAATCAAGCGTCACTACGAGGATGTCAAGAGCTTGGAGCTAGCCGCTGCAGAGCGGGACAAGGAAATCAAAGCGCTCAAATACACGGCTAAGCTGAAGCAGCAGGATTACTCGGAGTTGCAGGTGCGCAAAGAGATGGCCGAGAAGCAGGTGCACAGATTCAGCCAGGACTATTGCCAAACGCTTACACAAATGGCAGAGGGCATGGAGCAGCTGGAGCAATGCATCCTCTCCAAGGAGGCCAGCTTGCAGCACGCGCTCAATACCTTAACCGATAAGCTGAGCGTTCTGGAGCAGGCTCAGCAGCATTGGCAACAGCAGCAGCAGGCGGAAAACGCCTGTGCAACGAGCTCGACGCGCAGCTGCAATCGGGAACTGAACCTCATGCATCAGGCGCTGCGACAGGAGCGCAAGTTGCGCGTCCAACTGCAAGGCATTGAGCTGTGCAAAACCTTTGCCGCTCTGGAGCCGCTGCATGTGCCCCAGCTGAAGGCGAGCATTCAGCTGAACTCGCTGGAGGCCGAACTGCGCACCTTTAAGAACCAATGGCTCCTCTCCCATCTGGAGCTGGGTAGCCGCGGGGATCAGCGTCGTGCACAGATTCAGCTGCAGGGCAGCCGGCTGTTGCGACATATCTTCCAAACATATTGCACACTGAATCCGCATCGTGCAGCTCCCACTGATTTTGGCCTGTTTATAAGCCAAGATCTGAGGCGCGCGTTTTAGCCAAGTTAATTGTATTAGACTCAAATGTATTACGGCGAGAACAAAGATATATGTGATTTGCTGCTTAGCTTATTCATTTATTATTATTATTATGCGTGTTTTGTTTGTTAATCGAATATTCAATAAAATTGCAGTACATAGCCAAAATATTCAAAAGCCAATTGTTTACTTACTAGGACAAAGCTGCTCTACCTGTTAAGTGTAATATTTTGTTCGGACTGCTTAACTGATCGAGTAACTGACGACAAGCCAAAACGGTGAAATTTGCACTTATGCATCCTCCTAGGTCGTCTGTGAATACTAAAATACGGCTTTTGAAAATTCAAGCCACAAGTTGTGAAAGTTCCTTAGTTTACAGCATACAGTGCAAAATACGATCCTTCTTTTTTTTAACGAATTCGAATTTGTTTCTGAACCCATTTAAAATGAGTGAAAAAGGGTAATGATTTCGCGCAAAGTACATATGTTACAGGCAGAAGGAATCATCTTCGACCCCATAAGGTAGGTATACATATTCTTTATCGGGATCAATAGCCGAGTCGATCTAGGCGTCTCCGTCTGTCTGTCTGATCGCTAGAATTTGAGAGACTAAAACAGCTAGAGACTTCGAATTGTGAACTTAAGTTGTCGCGAACCCCAGGCCGATCAAGTTTATTTCATTTTATCGATACCTGCCGCCGTTTCGCAATTATCGGTATACATACAAGTTATTTTATAAGGTTGTGGCATATTGTTGTTTAGCTGCACAGATCTTATCACAAGCCCATAAAGTGTTTATAAGATTATTGCATTATGTTACAAACTAATAAGTTATTAAATTTTATCATCTCTTACAAGCAATTTGATTTTATTTATTAAATGTGTGCCGAACGATTTGTGGTGGATGCCCAACCGTTCTTTTAAAACTACATGGCATTAGCAAAGCAATTGAAGGCATTCTCCTGCACGGTGGGTAAGTGCCCTTCTCGATATGTAGGAATAGGATATCGGCCATTCATGCCGATTGTCTGAGAATATAAACAGATCCTGTGTAATTGTTTGTCTTGCATTTTAATTAACTTCATTTTAATATTATAATAATATATTACGTTAAATTTAAAGAATAAGACAAAATTATAAGATTTATAAGATATCTGGGGATATTTAAATGTAAAATGGTCCAGCATTTGTTGCATGGATTGGGGAAAATCCAGAAAAATTCAATCAGACAAACAAAATAGTTAGTTACGCCCATTCATCTGCAAATAAATGCAAAAATATTATTCACAAGACAAGACATTTAAAATAGAGTTTGTATTTGTAGAATTAGACGAATATGAACTGATAACATTTTGTAATCATTACAGAGTACTCGAAACTTTGATAGCAACGAAGAGCAAATAAAGTATTTCTTTTGCACAGATTTCAATCTGCTTTGATAAATCGGATATTAAGGAGACCACACACAAGATCTATATTCCAGAATTGGACGTACAAGAGAAGTGAAACGTATAATGGTAGTATTAGGGTCAAAAGATTCCTTTGACCAACGCTTAATAAAACCAAGAACTTGAAAGGATTTATTGACAGTGATTTTAATATGACTATCGAATTTTATTTTGTAGTCAAGAAGTAAACCCAAATCATTTACCTCATTCGGTCTATCAGGTAGCATCCCATACTAGAGGTGACCTACGATAAAATGACATGACCTCACACTTAAATCAGTTCAAAAGGAATAAAATCATTTTTCTCATTTTAATAATGACAGAAAAGAAAGTAAGTCCGCCTGCAGTAAGCAATGAGAAGATATATCACTATATGTCAGGCACAACTTGACATCATCAGCATACATTAGTATGTTAGAATACAATATAATAATAATAGTCAATCACATATGTGTAACTGCCTAGTGAGCATTTGAGCTACTATGCTCACTGTCTCCGTATGCGTTTCCGTATACCGGAGCTGAACCACCAGCTATTGGCATTAGATGATTAGTGCCAAAATTATTTGTATTATCAGATGCGATACGATATGCTGCACGAGCAGATCACCGAGATACGTACCATCGTACCATGGAACTAGTCGTCATGGACGCAGGGAAGAAGAAGAAATAGTATTTCACGCACACTTTGTTGGAGAACATCCAATATTTTTATCGTACAAAATAGACAAATGCAAGCGTTGATAAGTTATAAACATACAATTGCTTATATTAAATGAAATTATGTGCATCAAATTTACCACCTGGTACCCAGCTATTTCACCGAACAATTTCGGCATAAGCAAAGGCAGCATTGGGGGCAGTTCAGTACAACAGCAGCCCAACTTCATACCGGTGTATGTGCGTCTTTGGTTCCATGATTCACCCAAGCCGGGTTTGAAAGAGGCACGCGTCACATCAGAAGCAACACTCAAGGTGGTGTATCTCGTACGTCTGTCCACATGCGTAGCCAATGTGACTGTTGCAGTGGCATGTGATGGTGAGGTTTTTTTTTTCTATACTTATAAAAAATGAAAAGCCATCACTGAAGGAGACCCCTACGACCCCATTTTTGAACAGGATCAGTTTCTTGAGTAGACATATCTTATTATGCTTATAGCAGGAACAATCGGTCAAGAATATAGTTGAATAAATTGGCAACTTTTCGGTTTTATTAACAAAACTATTTTTAGTATTTGCCAACCATATAAAATTAAAAACGTTCAGAGCATTATATATCTAGACGATCTGAGTATTTTCAAAATAAAAATAAATAAATAAAAAATGATGCTAGAATTAAAATAAAAAACAGAGATACGAAGTTAACTAACTATTGATGCTAAAGTCTCTTTCAATGCGTTAAAATAAAATAAAAGGTATTTAATGTTAGGCACAGCAAATTAAACTGTCTAGCGGAATTACCAATCAGCAATTTTTCCTGATCCAAATCGATGTTACTTAAATCAAGTAGTGTAGAACTTCCCATGGGTTATCATATGCATTTACTCAAGGTTTTTTTTTTGAGCAGTAATAAAATGAATTCACATTGCATTTAGTATGTAGATTGACAGTAAATTGGATGAATGACTTATGTCCCTTATACAAGACACCATCACTGAAGGAACTGACTCGCATGGGCCCATTTGTGTTGTACCCTCATTTGGGAAGTTATGCAATATGCGAGCGAGAGTATAACACCAACTATATGTGTATGTAGATATCGATACAAAAATGTAAGATATGTATGAGATTTTTATATTACCCAAAAGCAATCAGCACCCTTAAAAATGAATTTTATTTATTTATTTATTAATTATAAATTTATTATAAATATTGCTTTCCATACATGACATATGCCATACCGAAACATTTAAGATTATACACGAGCGAATCTTTGATAGCCTGCCAGAGTTGGCGCAATTCATACGCATAACATACTCCATCTGCGATATGGTTTCACGACGTAATCCGCAGTTATTCAATTTTCGACTTGACCCGACCTGCAATTGTATCCAGGTGAACTGTAAATGCAGGGATAGGAATAAGCACAGAGAGACGAGAGCAGAAAGAAACGCGAACTGGTCACCGTTACTAAACGACGAGTAGACACTGAGAGCACAAAGAGAGAATGGTGATGACGTCCGCGATTATTCGGTATGTATAGTGATGTGAATACGTTATGATTTAAGAATCCCCATAATAATATTAATAAACAAATATAATAGTAAACGTCGTTTCTGAATTATTTTGCTGCTGGTGAATACCAGTGACCCACATAAATGTAGATATTATGGTATGTAGCTTATTTAATAATTGTAAGGTATGGCCCAGCGATATACATTGACATTTTTGTTCTACTCAAATCAGAAGAAGGCAAACTGAGAAGTTATTAAAAGAAAATAGATCGAACCCTTTCCGAAAGCCCCCCGATAGGCTTGCTCACCTCTGTAATCTCACACACACTTTCTCAAGGGCATGCTATAATGCCTTTAATTCGGCTTGTTCCATCAGTAGACCCACGCCCAAAAGGAAACCCCCTGGTGGCCACCACAATGGTGGCTTTTCAATGCTTTGGAATGATGGTCTCAATATAAGGCTGGTTTGGCGGGATACAAAAAAGCCACCAGTCAGAAAGGAAATCATTGAGAGGCCTTTGCTCAGATATAAAATCAACTAATGAGGCTGTGGGGCTGGGAAGAGTTCTGTCAAAACCACTACTAGGTTATCTCAAAAGAAATGACAATGCGTCTTCGGTCTCCATCCTAACCTTCAGCCTCCCGGAACCCTGCAGTGATTTTCAGGTGGAGCTACTAGCTATAATAACTAAAAAGGTTCAAAGTCAACATATATAATGATAGCCAAGCGGCAATCAATTCCATTAGTGGAATATCGTTAGATTCGATATCGGTAACATGTAACACACGTTATCAAGCTATTGAAGGCTGAAAAGTTAGCTAGAAAAGGAACTCTGTTACTTACGGATAAGGAAGATATATGCATGCCTCAGATATATGCATATCAGTACGAAACACAGCAGATGATCTGTAGTAATCCGTGCTATAACAGGACACTGGTTAGTTGGTGCCTTGGTTGGTGCACATAGCCTCCATGTGCCGTATAATGACTTCTGCAGAAGATGAAGAGAAGAAGAAGAAGAATAATCTCTGGAACACTTCTCCTGCTTCTCCCCTGCACTTGCCAGGAAGCCACTTGCCACCCTGTCGGTCCCTTCCTAGTTAATCTATCAATGTGACACGTGACCGGCCAAGATTGCGGAATTTATAAACGTAACGGGTTAGTCTAATATTTGATCTTAATACTATATGAGTGTAGGAGAAATCTGAGATAGATCCAACACGATATCACAACAGACCAAGCATGGCCTATATGTTTCGACCTTACAGGTTGATCCATTAGTAAAATGTATTAACGGCAAAATTTGCAACAAACAGATTCTCAAGTAGGGCAAATTGCAAATTTTCGAAAAACAGCGTATGAACTGTGGCATAATGAGAATACTGTTTTCAAAAATCCCAAGGTATTTGGTTCAACCGTTTATGCACTTCATAAAGTACATACATGTCGGGTATAAACCAAATGTTTTCAAATGGTGGATTGTAGAATTGAGGAAATTGATGACTCCTTATGATGTAGTGGACGAAACAACTATTTTCTGAGTAGACAATACGAGATATAGAAGTGTCAAATCGCCAAAAAGTGACTGCATGAAACATCTCATTTTTCGGGTACTCCAGCGAACGCAGGTAATTAGCAACGAGATGTTCTGGAGCGGTACGGACTAGGACTTACGTACGGTCTTTTTCTACCAGGTCCTAAACGGTTAAGAATGTGTGCGAAGAGAGTAGCAACATTGCTAGTGGATCACGCAGATGGTGATATAGAGATTAAAGAAATAATAATAATAATAATAATATGTTATAATAAAAGCTCGACCTAAATCTTCTCATATAAAAAATGTTTAGTGAATTCTCATTCATATTTCAATAGTAAAGGTGTTGACCTACGAAGAAATTAAGCAAGAAGAAGAAAGTAATTCAAGATGTATTAGATTCTCATTTCGAAAACGAAATTTAATTTTGAATGAGATGGTCAATACAAAGACCAGATGACTAACGCATAGTTGATTGCAAATGCGTTTTTACTGTAAAACAGGATGTATTTGATATCTTAGTAAAATATATGGAAAATTTGATGGACTATTATAAGGATGTGCACTACAATATAGTACACAGTTTCGTCTACATTCTTTGTAACAACTGCGTGCAAATGCTTTATTTTTGAACAATGAGTTTTTAAGCCATTTGTACAAATTTAAAATTTAGAAGATTTTTAATTTTTTGCTATGAACACTAAAAAGCATCTCAACCAATGAATATTCAAATGTACATGTTTAAAAATCTACGAGTACTTACTCCCTATGCATATGGACTAAGTCACTTAAACTTATATGTACATCCATGTGTATTTTTCGATTTTTTTATTCATTGTATTAATTTAAATTAAGTCAATTGTGATCTGTAAAAAATTGTATAATATATATGTTAAATTGATATGCTCATGGTTCTTGCACACATTCATTATTTTGTGATACTGTATCTATATCCATATTTACACATCAGCCGAAACAGTTTTATTTTTAATGCTTATCACATGTACAGAAAACAAGTAGATAGAAATAATGAGTAAGGGTAACGCGCACGTTTTGGTGCAAGATGGCGGCACTCTTTTGATTTTGTTTTTTATTATTGTCGCAGTTGCTGTTGTTGTATGGTTTACATAAATACGTTTAATGTTTAATGAGAAGAAAATTGAATCGTAGGCTATTTACAGTTGCTGGCAAACAAACACGTCATTCTGGTCGTCGTCACAGGCGCTGTATTAGTGTGCCGAAAGTAAAGTTAAATTAATTAAGACTTGCGATGCATTGGTTACAGAAAATGAATCGATCTTACCTCACGACTTGGCTGCCGCCTGTCGCTTGGCCACAATTTTGCCCTGGTCACGACTGTTTATGACCTCCGCATGGAAGCCGGTCTCCCAATCAGCGTAGTATTTCACGGTACGCACGTTGCCATCGGGCTCGACCAGAGAATATTCGCCCTTGACCACATCGCCATCGCGTTCCTCGCGCTGATGCTTATTATCGCCAGTATGAGGATCATTTACTGCATATTCAAAAGCGTAGCGTGGATGAGCATCCTGTAGAAAAAAAGGAAACCATTATTTAAATAAGGGGACCAAAAACGCAAGTAAATATTAGCTTACGAAGTGCTCAAGATGCTTTTCTGGCAACACCTTTAAGAGCGCGTGCTGTGGCACTGGTGCAGACTTCAAGTAGGCTGCGGGCGTTAGCGGGGCATGGTCGCTTAGTGCAGACACGCTTGGTGCATAGCGATTGAAGCCAGCGCCAAAGGGACCAATGCCGTGCCCATGGCTGTAGTCAGCGAGTGGAGCGCCCAGATGCGTCAATCCACCACCAGCAGCAGCAGCATGGGACAGCGCTCCATGATAGCTGAGTGCAGGCGAGACGGCAGCATGGCCAAGCGATATAGCACCGTAGTATAGGCCATCATGTCCGCCGGCTGGACCCAAGGCTAGTTTACCTAAGAAATAATTATAAAATGTTATTATTATGACTTAAGTGTTTTTCGTTGAGGTACTCTTAATTTTATGGGATCGATAATGCTGTTAAAAAAAATAGATTATAAGGTGTTGAAACTGTGGGCTTACTATAAAGTTTTAAGCACACTTCAAAATGCTTAAGTGAATTGTTTCTTCTATGTACGTAAATGACAATTATACGAGTACGTTCACACCGATTATTTTGGTTTTGTGATTTGAAGGTGGAGACTTCCACTTTGGAATATATTCTCCTTCAAACTATGAAAATCAGTTCCCCACGCTTACTGTCTGTTGCCAGTTCACCAGTGAACTCTTCCCAAGACGGATATAATATTTCTCGGCTACACAAATTTACGTCTCTCCAAATATCACACAGTTTTCAATGCGGAGGCATCGAATTTTGAAAGGTATCTATTGTTCCCAACCTTTTCTAAAAGAGCCATAAATGGCACCTGTAAAATAGTTTTTCCCAGTTTAATTAACTCACCCGAATGGAATCCATAGGAATTGCTGGCGTATCCGTGGCCAGACGCTGGTGAAGTCAGCTTGGTAAGCGGTGAAGTTAACAATGCTCCACCGGTGGGTTTTGACAAATAATGAGTGGACAGTGTGCCATGTCCAGTGGATGTATAGCCCAGTCCTAAACCAAGACCCAACTTGCCAGCATGACCGGTGGCAATAGTAGCTATCGCTGGCTTGGATACATACTGATGCGATACGGCGCCATGTCCAGTGCTGGCGTATCCCGAGCCGATGGCAGTACCTGTGGCGATGTGACCCACGCCTGGTGCGGCATATGTGGCAGTTGCGACGTTGGCAATCGCTGGTTTGGACACATATTGAAGGGAATCTGCACCACTTATAGATCCGCCATAGCCAGTGGCTACTTTTGCAATTACTGGAGCGGCAACAACAGCTGGAGCAGCGGGCAAATAGGTTTTAGAGAGTGTTGCTCCATAGCTAGCCACAGCAGGAGCAGCGTAGCTGGCGATTTTTGTAACAGCTGGAGCTGCTGCATAGTTGACCAACGCGGGCTTGGAGACATACTGATGAGAGACAGCACCATGACCAGATCCTCCATAACTGGTGGCCACCTTAGTAATTGTAGGAGCTGATGAGTACGTGGATATTGCAGGAGCTGCATAGCTGGCAATCGCTGGAGCAGCTGCAATTGTGGCCACAGCAGGCTTCGAGACATATTGATGGGAAACAGCACCATGACCAGATCCTCCATAACTGGTGGATACCTTAGTGATGGTTGGTGCTGCTGAGTATGTGGATATTGCAGGACTTGCATAGCTGGGAAACTTTGAGATTGCTGGTCCTGATGAATAGCTGGCAATCGCTGGAGCAGCTGCAATTGTGGCCACAGCAGGCTTTGAAACATATTGATGGGAAACAGCACCATGACCAGATCCCCCATAACTGGTGGCTACCTTAGTGATGGTTGGTGCTGCTGAGTAGGTTGATATTGCAGGAGCTGCATAGCTGGCAATCTTTGAGATTGCTGGTCCCGTTGAATAGCTGGCAATCGCTGGAGCAGCTGCAATTGTGGCCACAGCAGGCTTCGAGACATATTGATGGGAAACAGCACCATGACCAGATCCCCCATAACTGGTGGATACCTTAGTGATGGTTGGTGCCGATGAGTATGTGGATATTGCAGGAGCTGCATAGTTGGCAATCTTTGAGATTGCTGGTCCCGTTGAATAGCTGGCAATCGCTGGAGCAGCTGCAATTGTGGCCACAGCAGGCTTCGAGACATATTGATGGGAAACAGCACCATGTCCCGAGCTGCCGTAGGTTGTGGACACTTTAGTAAGTGCAGCTCCAGTGGAATACGCGGCTACAGTTGGTGACACATAGCTGGCGACCTTGGCGATGGCAGGCGCTGCATCAGGATATGCTGCAACGATTGGCTTTGAAATGTATTGATGGGATACATCAGCAGCTTGACTGTAAGTGGTGGCCACTTTGGTGAGTGCCGGAGATGTCGAGTATGTGCTTAAGGCTGGAGCAGCATAGCTGGCAATCTTAGTAACAGGTGACGCTCCTGCATAGGTGGCCAATACCGGCTTTGATATATACTGATGGGAGACAGCTCCATGTCCAGGGCTTCCATAGTTTGTGGCTAATTTGGCGATGGTAGGAGCATAGCCGGCAATCTTTGAGATTGCTGGACCCGTTGAATATGTGGTTACAGGGGGCGCTGCATAGGTGACCACCTTAGCTAACTGTGGAGCAGCAGCAATTGTAGCCACAGCAGGCTTGGAAACATATTGATGGGAAACAGCCCCATGTCCAGATCCGCCATAGCTGGTGGCTACTTTTGCAATGACTGGAGCAGCAACGACAGCTGGCGCAGCGGGCAAATAGGTCTTAGAGAGCGTTGCTCCATAGCTAGCCACAGCAGGAGCAGCGTAGCTGGCGATTTTTGTAACAGCTGGAGCTGCTGCATAGTTGACCAACGCGGGCTTGGAGACATACTGATGAGAGACAGCACCATGACCAGATCCTCCATAACTGGTGGCCACCTTAGTAATTGTAGGAGCTGATGAGTAAGTGGATATTGCAGGAGCTGCATAGCTGGCAATCGCTGGAGCAGCTGCAATTGTGGCCACAGCAGGCTTCGAGACATATTGATGGGAAACAGCACCATGACCAGATCCTCCATAACTGGTGGATACCTTAGTGATGGTTGGTGCTGCTGAGTATGTGGATATTGCAGGACCTGCATAGCTGGCAATCGCTGGAGCAGCTGCAATTGTGGCCACAGCAGGCTTCGAGACATATTGATGGGAAACAGCACCATGACCAGATCCTCCATAGCTGGTGGCTACCTTAGTGATGGTTGGTGCTGCTGAGTATGTGGATATTGCAGGACCTGCATAGCTGGCAAACTTTGAGATTGCTGGTCCTGATGAATAGCTGGCAATCGCTGGAGCAGCTGCAATTGTGGCCACAGCAGGCTTTGAAACATATTGATGGGAAACAGCACCATGACCAGATCCCCCATAACTGGTGGCCACCTTAGTAATTGTAGGAGCTGCTGAGTACGTGGATATTGCAGGAGCTGCATAGCTGGCAATCGCTGGAGCAGCTGCAATTGTGGCCACAGCAGGCTTTGAAACATATTGATGGGAAACAGCACCATGACCAGATCCTCCATAGCTGGTGGCTACCTTAGTGATGGTTGGTGCTGCTGAGTATGTGGATATTGCAGGACCTGCATAGCTGGCAAACTTTGAGATTGCTGGTCCTGATGAATAGCTGGCAATCGCTGGAGCAGCTGCAATTGTGGCCACAGCAGGCTTTGAAACATATTGATGGGAAACAGCACCATGACCAGATCCTCCATAACTGGTGGCCACCTTAGTAATTGTAGGAGCTGCTGAGTACGTGGATATTGCAGGAGCTGCATAGCTGGCAATCGCTGGAGCAGCTGCAATTGTGGCCACAGCAGGCTTTGAAACATATTGATGGGAAACAGCACCATGACCAGATCCTCCATAACTGGTGGCCACCTTAGTAATTGTAGGAGCTGCTGAGTACGTGGATATTGCAGGAGCTGCATAGCTGGCAATCGCTGGAGCAGCTGCAATTGTGGCCACAGCAGGCTTTGAAACATATTGATGGGAAACAGCACCATGACCAGATCCCCCATAACTGGTGGCCACTTTAGTGATGGTTGGTGCCGCTGAGTATGTAGATATTGCAGGAGCTGCATAGCTGGCAATCTTTGAGATTGCTGGACCTGATGAATAGCTGGCAATGGCTGGAGCAGCTGCAATTGTGGCCACAGCAGGCTTTGAAACATATTGATGGGAAACAGCATTATGACCAGATCCCCCATAACTGGTGGATACCTTAGTGATGGTTGGTGCTGCTGAGTAGGTTGATATTGCAGGAGCTGCATAGCTGGCAATCTTTGAGATTGCTGGCCCTGATGAATAACTGGCAATCGCTGGAGCAGCTGCAACTGTGGCCACAGCAGGCTTTGAGACATATTGATGGGAAACAGCACCATGACCAGATCCCCCATAACTGGTGGCTACCTTAGTGATGGTTGGTGCTGCTGAGTAGGTTGATATTGCAGGAGCTGCGTAACTGGCAATCTTTGAGATTGCTGGCCCTGATGAATAGCTGACAATCGCTGGAGCAGCTGCAATTGTGGCCACAGCAGGCTTCGAGACATATTGATGGGAAACTGCACCATGTCCTGAGCTGCTGTAGCTTGCGGTAGGAGCAACGGAATACGTTGATATGGCAGGAGTAACGTAACTGGCAACTTTAGGAATCGCAGGACCTGCTGAATAGGCAGCGACAATGGGCTTTGAAATAAACTGATGTGAAACATCCTCGGCTTGACTATAAGTAGCAACCTTGCCAATTGCGATTGATGGCGCAGCATAGCTGGATATTTTAGTGATAGCAGGCGCCGAGGAGTAAGTGTTTATAGTAGGAGCTGAGTAGCTGACAGTCTTAGTAACTGCTGGAGCAGCTCCATAGCTGACTAGCGCGGGCTTGGAAACATACTGATGGGAGACAGCACCGGAACCACTTGCCTTATAGCTGCCGGTTGTCAGCTTGGTAATGGCCGGAGCTGTCGCGTAAGTAGACAGTGCAGGAGGTGCATAGGCAGATGATGAGATATATGGAGCTGGCAAGTAGGTTTTGGACAGTGCTGGTGCATAGTTGGCTGAATAACCTGTGCTATGTGAAGAAAATAGCGATGATGTGGAGGTAAGAGCAGGTGCAGCATAAGATGCTACTTTGGCAATGACGGGTGCTCCATACGAAATCGAGGGTGAGTAGGTGCCAATCTTTGCTAGGCTCGGTGCTGCCTGAACGTGACTATAGGCCGGTGAGCTGTAGGTCTCCACTTTGGAGTAGCCTGGCGTCGCCTTGGAGAATGTATAGCCGGGAGAAGTGTAGGTTTCCACATTCGTGGTCACTGGTGAGGCATAGTAAGCTCCACTGGAGGCGGCAGGCGATGTGTAAGTAGCCAGCTTGGAAATACCAGGAGTGGAGTGGCTGTAGGAGTAGCCTGGTGAGGCATAGGTGGATACCTTGGTGAGAGCCGGCGAAGGCCGCAGATAACTTTCCAGCTTGGGAGCTGTCAGTGTAGTCTTAGTTAGTGCCGGCGAAACCAAATTCTTTAGCTCAATACCGGAGGGCACCACAGTCGCATACTTGGCAGCTGGAGATTTATCTGCGTAGGTTATGCCGTGTCCCTCATATTCCGTTGCGGACGTAAATATAGTCTTCTGTATTGGCTCAACATACTTGTTAATCTGGGTCAGACCTCCTTGAGAGTGACCCGCATATCCCGCAGTCGACTCATAGGAAGCAGCACCGCTTCCAACAGATGTGTGCAGCAATTTGCCATTTTCCGAGTAGCTGGAAATCGCTGGCGACTGACTGTACCTTGTGACTCCAGGCGTTATGGAGAACTTGACTTCGGCTGGTGGCGGTGCATAGGAATAGCCAGTGTCGCCACCCGTATGTATACAAGGTACGATCGCTGGTGCTGCTGTTGGTGTGGGATCTGCCAGTACTGAGCTGGCCAGAAGGCTTATTAGAGCAATAAGATGAAACTGATGATTCAAAATAATAATAGAAAATAGAGAGTGTGGAATTAAAATGGAGAATATCTGGAAGGTCTTAAATGATGCATATATAAATAATGGCTTGTGTTCCACCCCAAGGTGCGTCTTATTTTCTGCAGCTGCTGTGCAGGTTGGTCGGGACGAGCGATTTTTTTTTTGACTGTTGCTTGTGCTTATATAAATTTTATTTGCTTAGTTGCAATTGAAGATTGTAGAATGTGCGTCAAATATAAAAAAACAGAGGACAGACAAAAATATCGGCCATATATATATAGCTGCATTTTTTTCTAACCTTTTGCGTGAATTTTAATAGGTTGGCGTAATGAGCTAAACCAGGCATAATTTATTTTTCGCTCCTAGCTAAAATATTTACAGGTGATGCGTTTTAACTTGCTTTGACGTGTGAGACACATTTGAAACTAATTTTCTTTTGTACTAATAAGCTAAGTAATGCTTAACCTAACTCTGGTATACGCCTTCGTAGGTGTAAGTACATGTTAAATTATGTAAGGCTTGAAGTGGCTTGTTTTTCTACGGAGTGTTACAAATATCCAAATGTAACGGTTTCATTTCTTTTTGTTTATTTTATGTTCACATATTAAAAGTTTTTCCATAGAAAAGATTGCAGTGTAGAATACTTGCTTGCTGCTATGTAGTTTGATTAATATGAAAATGCGTTTTAGTTAACAGAGTCTTTGGTCATTCTCCGATCATGATTAAATTTGTACAGTTGTTTTGCATTGCTATCAAAAATCTGTTCTGATAGATTTAAACCAAAAAAAAATGGGAATTTACAGAATAAATGAAATAAACTTGATATTTCAAATAACAAAAAATTTTGATCATACCGTGTGCTCCCACAAACAAATTTACAGCTAGGCGGAAATGGCGAAATCGCCTCGCCTTTTTATGCTGATTGGGAATAAATATATTTTATATGCTGCTGTCTGCTTCTTACATAAGTTTGTGTACAGTTATGGGCGTAGCCAGGGAGAGGCAAATTTTGTAAAAAGGAGGCCGATTTGTAATTTTGTTTGAATATTTCATTACAAGTTCGGTACCTGGCTACGCCCATGCGCACATAGTATAACAAATTTTCAATCTGAAAGTAACATACATATGTATATATGTACGTTTTCTGCTTCTGTTCAGTTACAGAGTGAAAAAATAAATTCGCATGTCAAAACACCAAATTTTTCCCGTATTGGTAACTATTTCCTGGGTAGTCGGCATATACCAAATACAAACCTTGATAACAAAAGTAAAATTAGCTAATTTAATTTGTTCTAATTAGCTAATTTAATTTCTCTAATAGACAAGGAATTTGCATTCGTTGTTTATATACAAACATTATATGTTTGAAATACAATTGTTGAGCCCCTTCTTGTTCTATGTTATTGTTTCAACTGCTCAATACCATGTATGAAGGTACACTCAAAGCATGAGGGTTCGCCTAGTTGAGCACTCCTGGCCAATACATTTAATGGCTTATATTTAATGTTCATAAATAAGATTTTTTGAATTGAAGTATAACGTATCTCAGGATCGGTTATTCAAACTGTTTTTATTTAAATAATTGCTATAATCCAATAATCATTACTTTTACGTTACTTGTAGAACCCACCTTCATATTTTCACTGATACCGCACACTAAGTTGAAGTTGTCAATAAACGTTATAATAATATAGTTGAGCGCACTATATTATTGTAAACTGTTATAGCATTCACAGTTTATAAATAATGCACAAAAATGCTCGTAATCCTTGTTGTAATCGAACGCTTAACGATGAATATCCTTTGAATATGCGTATACTTAATTTCGTTTGATTCGTATTTCGAACTTTCGGCACACGGCACACGCAACGCTCGCTCGATGTAGAGCAACGCGGCTGACTGTTGGCCAGCCCGACCCTATAATCGCTTATATACGTTCGGTCAGTTTTGGCTCACACGCATGCGCAGCAGCCACGCACCAGTTTAGCGACAGAAAAATCAGCAGCAAACAAAAAAAACCATAACAACAACATCAATAAAAAAAAATCAAATGGTAAAGTGAGCAGAAATCGCCAGCAAAAATATTGAAGTTTGGTAAAGCGAAGTCAAGTCAAGTCAGAGCTCAAAAGCTGCGACTGACTGCCTGAAGAAAAATTGATGACTGTTCGGCTGCGTAGTTGCAGTTTGCAGTTGGCAGTTGGCAGTTGGTTTAGTTCTCTTTGTTTTGGGGTTCTCTCGCAGTGCAGCAAGCAACCTGCATCGTCTATTTGAGGCCCCACCTTCGCGCTGATCTGGCTCAGGCATTTTATTAGATCATAGTAAACGCCTCGGCTCGAAATCGGCTCAAAATTGCGCGTGGTGCGTTTCTGCTCAGTTCTCTCGGTGGCTGCTGCGCCTGTTGCATTGTTGGCCAGGTTTTTTGCTTGTTTTTTTTATTTTGCATATGCTTTTAAAGCGACTTAATTTGATTTAGATTTTAATCGCGACCGTTGCGTGTTGCTGTGGCAAAAATGTAGCTTTGAAATTCATACGCAATTTGTTCGAAGAAAAAAAAAATGAATAAAAGAAAAAAAATTACAAAATTGTGGTATTACTGTCGCCATCAATAAATTTTGTCTCTGTCTGTGCGTGCCTGGGGCCTTGATTGTGCATTAGTTAGATAAAAGGCGCCATATACTTTATGAAAACACACACACATAAGAATATTCACCATATACACAGACAGAATACCATACATGTACCCAACTAATAGAATAACCTGCGATATGACCAAGTGTTGACTTGTTAGCAATTAAGGTCACTTTGTGTCGTTGCGATTTAAAACGCGCACAATTCGCTTGCGGGTGTGTTCGATGACTGTTGGCTGGATATTGTCTTGGAGCGACCGAGAAAATGGTGTTATCCCCAGTAAATAGACCGTATAGACAGTTCTGATGGATAACTTTGTGCATTTTTATTGATCATATGTAAACCAATCAATTCATAAGCAATAAAAAATTCGCATAAAATAAATTCAACAAATATTCTGTGAAAATGTATTTAATCAAGTTTTACTAAAGATAAAAATGAGCATATTTTGTAATTATAACTTGGTGATTCTCGACCCGTCCTAGTAAAAGAAAAAATATAATAATGTGATTATTTATTATGATTTTTACTGGTATTAAAATTCCATAATTTTCAAATTGTGAAGCGTTGGTTTATTTCATCCAAATCCATGCCATTATCAATATTATCAGGTACATCAGCTATTTTGTGTTTCAAAAATATACCACAATTTTTAACTTTAATTAAACAAATATTTTCATAATATTTTTATTACAAATCATTAAAATCACAGAGATATCAGTTGTTAAAGTCAGGATATAAGAACTGTCATTTGTTAGTTTGCTGGTTGAGTAATTCACTTTTTGTTGTCAAAATTCGCATACGCGTTAAAAAGGTTTTTAATTAGTTGTCGCGAAGCCGCCAAAACACATTTCAACTTCAAGCTGCCACAGTTGCCACATTTTGTCCCTGACTTGCGGTTGACACCACATGCCATGCGTATCAGTTGAAAGCGATCGAATATGAATCGATTTGAAATCGAAGCGATCTAGGCAAACAGACGGACCATAAGCAGACCACAAATTGATTGAGCTGCACACGCGTTGACATTTCAATTAGAAGTTTATACTCGGCACGGCCACACCAGGCCAATGCAGAAGGAATGCTGATTTCGCTTGGATTCGAGAGAGATAAGCGTTATGGCCCAATTAACTAATTTGTCGCATGATGTGATATTTTATCGCGCAAAAAGGAGAATAATACGCATACGCAGTGTGTGGAGTGAAAGGCTGTCGTTGGTATTGGGATTTGTTGGGCCTGTTAATTGAACATGAAACATGTTTCAGCTCTGGCTGTTTGCTTGACTCTTAGTCTATCTGTCTGACTTTTTAGCGTTTTCTTTTTTATGTTTGTTTTTTTTATATATATTTTTCGGGTTTTCGCAATTTGATTGAATTTTAATTTTTGCATTTGCAAGCCAATGCAAAAACTCTAAACTACAAACTGAAAACTACAAACTTCAACTGCAAGTCAGCTGCAATTTTAACCTACTTCGGGTGGACTGGTCGAGTTTAGTTCGTCGCGCATTTGTCACACACACGCACTGAGATCTGGCCGCGGGGCGTTACGTAATTGCCAACGGGCAACGGGCAATAGGCACTTGGCTAACAGACGGCTACAGACGACTACAGCTGGCCATGGCTAACACATACGATCAACCATTGCCTACTTAACATCATGACGAAATCCGCCTGACAACCGCTGCCAACTACTGATCCTCAGCCACCCCCTCCCAGCTGCTGTTCCACCCGCCGCACAGCATCAAATTTTAATTGAAAAATCTAGATTTCACTTAAAGTTTTCTCGTCGATTATTTTACATACCCATACCATATGCGCAGCCCAACGTTGTATCGTTTTGTGCATTTTTGTATGTATATGTTTACGTGTCTATCTAGATTGTTTGTCGCTCATTGAAAATCGAAATGCATGTTGTACACGCCGCGTACGTAAACATTTCAAAATTTGCCAGCACATATTCATAAAATTACAAATTTAATGCCGCCTGCCTTTTTGCGCAATTGACGATCTCGAATCGCGAATCTAAAAATTCAAAACCCCAATCTCGAATCTAATTCTACACGCATCGAAAATGTGAACCAGTTTTGGTTGTCTCATAGTTTTTTAAAAAGTGCAAAATCGCTATAAAAACCTCTCAAAGGCCGAACGAGTTGCGTATCTGTTTAAATGTTTGTGCTACACTGTGAGCGTGTGTGGGGCGGATAACACGTCGTATGCGTGTTATTTTGCGGTTGGCCGCTATGTCGATTAGTGCTTTTAGCCACAGGATAAGTTACCGCTGTCTGCCATTGTGGTAGCCTGAGGTAGCTAATGCTGTGTGTTAATCCAGCTTGGCATGGGAAAATGCTGTACAGAAGCACTTTTCATGATGTGAAATTTCTACCGTTCAATTATGTGAAACTACTCCAATAATATTGCTTTTGTTATGTTTTAAGGCGATCATGTAAAAGAAAAGTCACGTTTCACATTGCGTAATATTTCTGTTGGCAAAGTAAATCGATTTATCTCCAAACTAACACATTTTCGGACGTTTCGGATCTTTGGAGTATGTAAATTGTAAAATATATTCGCATATTAGGTAGAGAATATCTGGATAGTCTCTAATTACTATGAAAACTATATATAACTCAGACTATACACCTTATTATTAGTTGCATAGAATAATATTCCGACATGTACACAGCTAAGCAATCCCATAATATGTAAATTTATTACTGCAGAGAACAGCAACACAACAGATAAAAACAAAATTCGGAAAACATTACAGAAACATGAACAAATTGTGGGTAGGCAGGAAATTGCTAACAAGCTAAGGTAACAATCAGAAATGATTTCTGATATGCGTCCGTCCGTCCGTCTGTTGGCTTGTCGCCTTGCCAAACCTCCAAAAGTCAACTGAGTAGCAGCAATTGTAGACTTGCGATTATGCCATAGAGACATACCATATTTACGATTTGCGATATACGATTCACGTAGACAACCATAAATTAACACCAGGCCATTTGGCAGGCGCGGGCATTAATTATTCCAAGCCGTCATGTAGAAACCGAAAATCATGCGATTTGGCAACGGGTATGCAGTGGAATTTTTTAAATTGTCTCACATTTGCTTAGCTAGCTAATTGATCAGTTGAATTGACATTCTCTCCACTCTTGGCTGCAATCTCCAAATCCTTAATAGGTGTGCGTGTCGGCCGAGCTGAACTGCTTTTCTAGTCAGCAAACCGGATCTAAGTCTCAAGAGTCAATACTGAGTCATACTTCAACAGCAGCCGTTCCACTGTTCAATGTCGCCTCGTCGCAGGCGGCGCCTAATCTAGAATATTATAAATTATTTAATTGGGAGCGTAGGCAACGCCTCTGCACCATAGTTGTTTCAGAGATCTCAGAACTGAGAATTTGTTGCATTCAATTGACTTTTAGACATTTCTCACGCGTCCAAGAGCGCGTTAAGTGATTTTTTTTATACATTTGCACATCAATTGTGGATCAACGTTTTTTTTAAATTGAGTAACTGGTTGACTCCAAATCACGGCTTAGAATGCTGTTCTCGATTGGATCGATTGGTGGATGTGGGATCCATTTGCATATTCAGTACATATATATGTAAATATTTTTGCACATACATATATATATTTGCAATCAGTTTTGAAAAGTGTAACGTGGATGGCATTTGACACGCCACATCGACAGATATAGCCTAACATACTCGTACCTTTGTGATTCTACATTTTTTGCATAAACGCAATAAAACGCACTTTGGCATAGTCAAGTTGATCATTTGAGAGTAGAAACCCAGTCAATGCCAAAGTAACCAAAGTTGACAAAAAGTACTTTTAATTAGAATATGTACTTGGTACGGATTCGTGCGACCATGCATTCGCTTAGCCGCATATCTGGCTGTCTATTCAAACTCGTTATCCGAGATTAAGTTAATTGGATTAGCCACCAGTTAGCTGCGTAGAAGCCATCGCAGGTGGGCAGGGGCAGTTGGTGCAACTGTAACTGCAGCAGCGTTTCGCATTCAAATGCTGCCTAATTTGTGTTAATTATGACAAATGTTTATGGCACTGCACCAAAACTGTGGCAACAGATCGAGTGCCCGTGTGTGAGTGGGTAGCAGCTGCGAGGGCCGATTCAGCATTTGTGTGTTGTTGACCAAATTCAAGGTCGCTTCTTAGAACTAGCCTTGATTTTTTAAGTATCGGTTTTTATCGATTTAAGGGCAATGCTTGGAGCTGACAATAAAATGTAAAACGCTTGATGGGTCTTAGCCATACGGTAGCTCATATTCCAAATTTGAAGTCACTAGTTCTTCTTACCTGCCATTTTTAATAGTAATTCATTTCAATGTTTGTGATAAATAAAATGATTGCTTAATACATTTTTTATGTGTATCATGTATGTACTAACTGTTATAGTAGATGATCCAAATTTGTTATGTATTTATTGTATCAAATCAAGTCTAATTATTTTAGAATAATCAACAGCGCCACTAGCTACTCTTTATTGGAAAAAAGTTTACTCTAGGAACAGAGTGTCTTAAAGTCAAGTACTCTCGACTATAACATTACCACTAAGAAAGATAACTAAATATAGGTTGGTATAAATAATATGAGCACCATTATAAATAAGTGTATGCAATTAAAAGGTTATTAAAACCTCTAGAATTTATGTCAGGTCATTTAAATAATTGTTCTCTCAATGTATACTAAAAGTGATAATCTGAAGAAATATATTTATGCAAAATTAAAAAAAAAATGATGATAAATAAACAATTGCAGTAAATTACGAATAAATACAATAAAATTAACAAACATAAACAGGAAACAGCTTACAAAAATCTCCCTAACAATATTAGGCACCATCATCCCTCACACTCCCTGCAAATTCCTATAGTTGCCCACTGTAAACTTATGAGCCCTGGCATACAAGGGCACCATGTGTTGTTTGTCTCGCCGCACCATGGATTGGACTAGGCGGGCGGAGGCAACTCCTTGCTCATCGTCTGGGGTCTCCTCGAAGTCATCGTCTTCCAGTTGTTGGTCTGAGAAGAGTACGGGGCCAGTCCCCTCGGGCCGGGGATACCGCTGATTGATTGTCCAGGGCTTCTCGTGCAGCTTCTTTGGCTTACGTTGGAAGTAGCTGGCGTAATCTGGACGGGCAAAGCTCTTGGGAACACCCTTGTACTTGAAGTGCTTCAGTCCGGGAGTGATGTTCACAGCCTTCTTCTGGTGTATGTGATTGGAGATAGGCTCCGGATTTTTGAGGGGTCGCTGTTTAGAGGATGCGTAGTTCGTGTGGAGTGCTTGCAGGGGCACTGCTGGCTGCTGCAAATAGTTTGCTGGCAATTCCTTCGGCTTGTAGTGATCATAGTAGGGGTGTTGATGCGGATGACTTGTGCTGTAGTGAGGACGATACTCGTTTGGCTCGTTGACAATCACCGCCTTCCAGTCGCTCTCCTGCACGGCGTAGCTGGGCTGCATCTTTTGCGAGTACTCCTCCAGCTTTTGGACTGCTGCAATCTCTTTGTAATAGTTGTCTCTCGCTTGCTGCAGCCGTTTCCTGATGTCTGGTTCCAACTCCATGGGCACCTGCTTAATACGGGCATGCGGCTTGAATTCAATCAGGCTGGGTATCTTGGGATGCGAATGTGTCAGATCCTCTATAGGCTTCTTCAGCGGCTTTATATCGGAACTGAGCACAATGTGCTCCTGATCTTTACTATAGTGATTGATTTTCGACTGCGATGTATCATCGTTTGCACTTTTCTCGCCCTCGGGTGTCTCTGTGATTGGATGCGAATTGGCACCCACCGTTTTCACGATGGCATTGAAACCCTTCTTGGCATCTGCTGTATAGTGCACTGTGCGTATGGAGCCATCTGGCTCGAGTACGCTATAATGACCCTTGACACCGTCGCCATCCCGGGACTCCCATTGTGATTTCACATCGCCTGTGTGTAGATCTTTGACTCCATAGCTAAATGCATATTCAGGATGTTCCTGTGTGTACAAAAGTTATCCAAAATTACAACTTTCTGTATGCAGTTAACGTTAGCAAAATTCCTGCAGTTGTATTTATTATTTATTTACAAGTTTTTAATTTTTAATTTTCGATCCACATATAGGTTAGAACAGTGATTAATAGGTGGGACTCGAGAAGCTTGTTTATCTGATTGGTGTTTGGTTGGGTATTTGATACCAGGACTTTGTGGGAGCGTTAAGAGGATTGGTGTAGGTAAAACATATTTATTAGTATTATTGTTATTTAGTATTAAAAGAAAAGACATGGAAATCCAAAGATTATATGATAACTTTAAAGCAACTGCAACCACAAATTTATTAATAATCACAATCAGGGTAAGAATTTAAAAAAAAAAAAAAACAATTGTCATGTTAGTACTTATTACAATTTCTTCTTTAAGGAAAATATACTAAATGTATTTTTGCACAGTGTCTTTCGTGCATGCGTTCAAAAAATGCGTTGACCACACCTAGTAACAAAAAAACCAAAACAAATATATACGAAAGCACTGGAGCTCTAATACTCCAATGACTGCTACAAAAACTGTAGAATTCTTATGTGTTCACGACAAAAAATATAAAAAAAAGAAATAAGCACAGTTTTGGTTTTAGCTTGGCTAAAAATTGTGTCAAGGCAAAATCGCGCTGTGCACAGTTTGAAAGTCACTGGAGTCTGGGTTGGGTTTTGTCTTTTTGGGTAAGCTTGTCGTCTACGCAATGATCTTTTGATCTGCAGCCGACATCAAGTCAAACGCAATACAATCGTTAAATACATATTAATGTATTACATTTGCTTGGATCCTAGAAAACCAATAATAAGTAGCAGCAATTCATTAGTGCAATGATAATCTCAATTTCAATTTAGAAATACACATATGTCAGCTTTGCACAAATTCAGCAACAACATTTATTTTTCCTTGACTTTTGTTTTAGCACCTCTATCAAGGCGAAGCAAGGGGAACATTATGAAAAGTATTTCGCATGCTTTGGCGCTGGCTTCAATTAAGCGCAGACGTCCATAAATGGCCACAGTCGTGTCCATGCAACAGTCTAGACTTTAGAGTCTATAGAGTCTCGAGAGTCACAGTAGCTTTTTGTTGTTGGTTGTTGGTTGCCTATCAATTTGCAGTTGCTGGCTGTCGCTGTCCAGCGAAAACAAATGATTACTTTGGGAGTGCGTAACCTGAGCAGCCAAAGCTTGTGCGTTGTGCGCAAGGCAAAATCATTTGGCAAAAATATAGTTTTTAATCAAAGCTACTTTTTTGGTGCTTGTTGTCAGTTGCATAAGTGGGCAGGCGGAGCTGTTGACCACTGTGCAGGCCGGCCACCCAGGAGTTAGTTGCAGTCGCTTATTTGCTGCGGCCCCAGTTGGTGGTCGGACAGATCGCCTTATTGGCTTGTTGAGTTGGTGGGTGCGTGTGAACTTTGCCTCATAAATTGCCATGCAGTGGATTTACGATGACTGTGCTCACTGGGCGTATACGCAAAATGCGAAAACGAACGCAATCGCGAATGGCCCAATAATTACATTAAACTGCGTATACGCTGCGTTGGCCGTGTGCGTCAAAGTGACAACAGAGCAACGGACAGATCGTGGGAGAAGGCTTGTGAACCAAGCAATTCTAATAATTTTGACAAACAGACAGACAGAATGACTGCCTTAGCAGGCTATGGCTCGAGCCACGCACACACCAAGGCGTTTCACTAGGCGGACAGTTGAGACAGAGTGGCAGACTGGTAGACAACTTGTTGCTGCAGCACATGAAAATCATTTTAAAATGTTAAGCGGGCCTTGTCATTGCTTTCGGGTTACAGAGCAAACAATTGTCTCCTTCTGAGGCCTTCCCACGTGCGAGTAGGTGCAGCTAACTGCGTGAGTTTGCCTTATATGGCGCCATTGTTGATTGTTGATCGTTGATAGTTGTTGTTGATAGTTATTCGTATGCTGCACGCAAAACGCATTTTTGGCTATCTGCCAACCTTCCTCCCCACAAAAAGAAAAATACAATGGCTTAGACCCGGACAGGCCCAAACCAGGCCAGATCATTCCACTTACATTTTGATTTATGTGGGCGACGATACGTTACCCAAAAAAGAAAAAAAAAATGAAATATCTCTTGGGGGTGGGGACGATCACACAACGCACGAACAACATTCACTTTGAATGGCCGGCAATGGTGGAAAATGCGTTTGGTGCACTTAAATATTTTGTCGATACTTGAAAGATTGCAGTAGAATTTGCAAAAATGTGTAATTCAACAATTTACAATTCCAGTTCCCATTGATAGAGGTAAACTCGTTATAAATGTAGAAACGGGTTTGCAAGTGCTACTATTTTAAAAATTATGGCCTCAAATATAAGAATAAGATAACAAATCAATTTCGACCACAATTCTTCCAATACTGAAGCATAAAGTGCTATAGCAAATTACGAAGTGGCAACTATTAAAATGTATTCAGTTTTCGCTTGTTTATTTGAGCTTGCTAAACATATGGAACTTAACAAAATGTATTATTTACCTAGAAAATTTCGAAACTTAATAAACGATCAATTATTTATTTGGAATTAAAATTCTTTTTGACATGCTCAAAAATATATTTCTTAATACCTAACAACATATTGACTAAATAATGTATCGTACCAAAAAGTAATTTCGAGAAGTCATTCAGGCTTTTCAGCCCATTGTGCTTGCAGTTGGCAGTTTGGCCGAACACTTTGGCTGACTGTTAATTTTACTGTTAACTGCTCATGCACTTTGTGGTGCAAAGTGGGGGAGGGGATGCGAGATACTTACAAATTGTGGAGCATATTCCATCATTTCGTCGTTATCCGCCACAACGACAGGTGCGGCAGTGACTCGCCTACAGGCCACGGGGCGCGTCGACAGGCTTAACGCGAGGAGGGCTGTGATTAGGGAGAAGCAGCTTTTGCAGCGGGTTGAAGGCGGCTCTCTCGTAATCTAAGGCATTTAACAGAAATATGAATGTGTGGTTTTTATCAGTGGATCGCTTAATAAATGCAACGATAAAACAAGTTGACCAACAGCCAACAGCTAATAAATTGGCTACAAAATTATTACGCGAGCATGGGCCAATTAATTGGCCGAACAGCCAAACGACGCATGTTTTAGATGCATTGGGACATTTCTCAAGCTCAGACCCCGTCTAGCTCCGTCCCGTTGCGCTCCGTGCTGTCTCGGGACATGTCATACAGCGTTGTGACAGTTGTCAAATGGTAATGGTAATACGCATACGCCTCGGTGTCCCCAAAATTAGGCTTCGCCAGACGTACATTTGTATGTACGATGTGACAGCAATGGCTACAGGTTGGAGATTGATGGTTTTGCTTAAGACCAGTAGCTTGGATATCGAAACAGGTCTGGCAGGATGGCAGCCACGTACAATTCAATTCAGATCAGTTCAATTCAATTTTCAACTGCCAATTGGCAATTGCCATTTGCCGCTTACATCGTGTAACTGATTTTTATTTTAGGCTCCCAGTCAATAAATTGCAACATTTTTTTGGGCATTTTCTTTGGCAACCGATTGGCATATGTCGTTTCGCCCAGGCAGCGTTTGAGTTTCAGCTTTCTTATGAAACCTGGCTAATTAGTACAGTTGCACAAAAGCAGGAGACAACGATGATACAGATACAAACTCATACACTAACTCAAGCAAATTAATAATGCTTGAGACTGATTTGTTAAGCCATGTTTGGCATTCGGTAAGAATGTGGATTCGTATTGTGCGCAAATTTTGATTGAATTAATTTTATTTCAGCCTTATTGAAAATGCAAACTTGTGAAAGCTTTAAAAACAATAAGTTCACTGGCAGAAAGTTGGCTTGGTATTCGAAACTTAGAGAAGATATTTATTTAACTGCATTTTATAGGGAAGGAATAATGAATTAAAAATTGGCTTATTTACGACACTTGCACTACTTCAAAAATGTTATATTAGGAATGCAAAACGATTCGCTTTTATAAGCAAGCTCTATATAGTGTGTGTCGCATATTTGCTATGCATTTGTAACAATCGTAATGTGAACGTGAAAAACTAGCAGTTTTGGTAACGATTGGTACAATTTGTGCATTTGCATGCGTTTTGTTTTGATATCTGCATGACTTTCACTTTAGGGGTGAAAGTTTTTGCTAAACACTTTCGCTCCTATTTACGCCAAGTATTGCTATCGTGTTGTGGATGCCTCGGCAAACAAAACACAATTGACAAATGTTTTGCACTTACATAAAAACGCATGTCGTCAACAAGTATTCAATATATGAATTTATTACTAAAAATTGCACAAAACGTTGTTCACGTCACACAGATCAGACTGCGCGATTTAAATCGCACGGGAAACGCGTCGAAGTTGCTCACTGCACGCTGTCAGTCGCTCACTGGTTCAATGTCAAGGACAAAAACGTAATTAAAGCGTTAGCGCGACATTGCCAAAGTATTTATAGGCAGCAGTAGCAGCAGCAGCAAACGAAGACGACCGGCAATCAGGCAACGCCAAAGCGTGGCCAAAGCGTTTTCCCGGCGACAAGATTTTCCGGCCCAACTGGTTTCACAATTGTTGTCGTTGCCAGTTGTTGTTGTGGTTGTCAGTTGGGGATCAGGCGAGGCGGCAGCGATGCGCCAATGTGGGCAGCAGAGCTTGTGCTGTGCGAACGCTTCCTAAGCCCGGTCTAATTGACAATTATATGAAACTCAGTCTCAAACTGTGGCGCTGACAAACTCGTTTTCATTTTCGTTTTCGTTTCGCTATCACATCAGCAGCAACAGCAGCTGCAGCATCAAACTGCAACTGCAATTTGGCTGTCTCCACTTTTGGTTTCAACTGCACACGAGTAAAAGTCGTCGGCGCCGCGCTTCAGATGCGGTTGCAGCTGTTGACTGGAGTTATAAAATATATATCATGCAGGATTACGTTTGGTCTTAACATAAAATAAAAGCGATTGGCCTCGCAATTCGATATCAGAGTATCTCTAATCCTAACTAACTATGAGAAACCCCGTTCAGCGCATTCAGTTTTCGCTTAATTTGTTCAAGTGTACAATATTGGTATGCATTTTGGCCTTTTGATATGGTGGATTACTTAGTTGAAAGCATTGCTCAGAGCCTCTTAAAAGGCGTTCCAAAAGGTCACATTATGAATTTGCATGGTTGATTATCCGGTATTTATGCGGTTCAATATCGTTCAGTTGTGAAAGGAAGAATACCACTGGAACCAATTGTTTTGCTCAGTAGTACAATTCGTTTACGAATATGCTAAAGCGAGTTTTAAAAATATAAGACTGGCATACCTTTCGATTAAATTGCTTTAATATTTTGATAAAAAATACTTTTCACAAAAATCCTACTCAAGCTCTTTTGGTCTTTTGTTACTTATCCATATGTATGTAAATATACTTGTATGCTACTAACGATTTATACAAGTGGGTTCAGATCAGGTTCTATTCAGTTCATTCACAGCGTCTGGTTGTAGGTTCTTAGTGTTAGTGGATCTGCTTTACACTCACATAGCTGCTAGCATGTCCGTGTCCGTGTCCACCATAGTGAGCCACATTGTGTCCATAGCCGTAGCCTGCGCCATAAATATCATCATGTCCGTAGCTCTTGTGGACCTGTGGATGATGGGCGTGTCCCAGTTTCTTGACCACTGCGTTGAAGCCGTTGTGATCATCGGCAGTGTACTCCACAACACGTGTCGTGCCATCGGCCTCCTTTAGGGAATAGCTGCCGTGCACCTTGTCGCCGTCCCGTGACTCCCACTGGCTCTTGTGGTCGCCCGTGTGCGCATCCTTGACACCATAGTCAAATTTATACTTGGGATAATGATGTGGCTCGTATTTATCGTAGCCATGACTGTAGCTGGCGTAGCCCAGGCCCAAACCATCATAGCTTCCGTAGCCTTCATAGCCTCCATAGCCTCCATAGTCTCCATGTCCTCCATAGCCTCCATCATGAGCATAACTCTTGTGTGCAGGCTCCTCGTGTTTGGTAAGCACGCTGTAGCTAGTCGCATGACCATGTCCATGAGGCGCCGCCAGACCCACACCCAGCAGGCCGAACACCAAAACTCCACAGAACGGATGCATTGTCTTCGATTCACAGTCGCTTGGCTTCGTGATGATGTCTGTTGGTTCTTGGTGCTGCCACTCAGAGTTTTTATAGCACTTGCTCGGCGCATTGGGGCTTTGGGCCAGAGCCATTCACTTGCCTTCGATTAGCTAATTAGTTGTTCATAATTGTACATTTGAGCTTTGATCGTTGAGCTGCATAGAAAATGTAATAAGTTATTTTTAGCCAAACACTACAATTGAATGTTGAAAACTGAATTGGAGGGCGTTTATTTTGTGAATTGTGTTAAGTTTATCACAAAATTATTAAAACAAAGAAAATATATTCACCTATATGACTATGTACGAAACAAAAAAAAAACATACTTAGAATCATCAAGAGTTCTTATAAACATTACTTACCAATTCAATTGTTGTATTTAAATTGGTTATATGTATACCAAATATAATGTAAAATAGGAAGAAGTGAAAGCATTGCAGCCGAGTGTAACCGACTCTGAAATACTCTGATGCCAGTTTATACCAGCTGGTCACAGGTAGCGAAGAATCTTCTTAGGAGTTGCGCAGTACGTGGGTGTGCCTCAAACATTCATTAAACCATTAATGTGACATTCAAATTTGATAACTCAATCTCACGCGGCAGTTTCTGAGGGGACGAAATATTTACAAACGTTGTGCCTCTTGTTTTAAAATTTGATATTACAAGTGGTTTTTATCCATTTGCGACTATCGATCGTGTGGTTTTTCTAGTAGCCCCAATTTTAACATTGCCACTTTGGCTGACGTTGCAACAGACAAGTTTTAAGTCTGTAGCTCTATGGGACAGAGAATAAAAATTTGTTTAATTTGGTGATATAATTTTCAGATCACGTTGTTTAAGCCTAGCTTTGGTTTTATAGGCGGTAAGTTTTATTTCGAATTAATTATATTTATTTTTATTTATACAAAATAATAATACGTACAAATTGGTTATAAGTTGCAATTATAAGAAAAACATATCTTATTTAAAAATTATTTTAAATGGTGTAAAATCGTAGAAAGCTCATTTTCTTGTGAATGATGATGATGCAGTAAAGTTAATCGCTAATATTAAGAGGAAATTTAAAATCCAATCACTGCGTAAGTCTATATTATACGGTTGATAGGAATTAGAAATAATTAAAATATAAAATACCACAAAATGTGAGTTGTTATGAATTAGCTAGAACTCGAGTGACGACTCTGGCCTTGATTGTTGCTAATGAGCCTATTCTTAGTTCGTTTAATATGAGCCACTCCCTTTTATCACCTAATATCATGATAAATCCGCTAAAAACTATAAATCATAATTTACACTCAAAACAAAACTGATTAATTTGTTTCGCTTGTAGAAAACATTAACAGGTATTTAGTTTCACACTAATTCGGAAGCCCGGGCCCCCCAGAGTGTAAATATTAATGGCCAAATCGATTGGCCCCCTCTGCAATGCGTCTCAAGGTCAGTTGGTTTCTGGGCTTTTGTCTAACTGGGCGCAAAAACACTCGGAGCTTGGCTTGAAAACGCAGCGAGGCGTGGCATTTGGCGCTTTTGGTCAATTTGAAAGCGGGCCACACTTGTTGATTGATTTCTAAAGCAGCAACAAAATCAAAAGCTAGCCGTAAAATTACAACAACAATCCAGGTAATCGAAGCGTGGCTGTGTTTTTGGATTGTTAACGCCCCATTTATTTATTATTGTTGTTGTTATTGGTATAGTTGAAGTTACTTTTTGGACAGCTTTTAATTGGGCAATGAGCATCGGGCAACAAAAATATGCATACGAAGTGTGGAAATGGAAAATTTGCGCAAAAATTTGAAGTATTTTTGTGTTTTACTTTTGCTAGCCTATTTAACCTCCGAAAAGCAAACTTAATCATATTCATATGCATGTTGACTAGAATGCTGAGCTATAAAAAGGCTAAAGACTGTTCGATTTGTATCACAGTTACAATTGGGTTTTAGGCAAAGCAACAACCTCAACAAGCAATTAACAACCCAAATTCAAAACAAATGGCTCAAGCATTAACTTTGATATGCTGCACCTTGCTGGGACTTTCAGCTGCGAGTTACTTATCACATAGTGGCTACGAGCATGGCCAACATGGTGATAATGGAGTGGGCTACAGCATACAGACACACCATGAGGCACCTAAGAAGTGGCACAGTCACGAGCATGATCATCACTGGGCTCAACCACAAGCAAATTACTTTGTGGCAGCAGCAGCACCTCAGCACTGGGCGCCACAGCATAACCATCATGCTGCAGCTGAGCCCAATCATCATCCCAAATATCAGTTCGATTATGGCGTCAAGGATACCAAAACTGGCGACATTAAGCAGCAGTGGGAGACACGTGATGGCGACAAGGTCAAGGGTGGCTACACAATGAAAGAGGCCGACGGACGCACTCGCATTGTGGAATACACAGCCGATCACCACAATGGCTTCCAGGCAGTCGTCAAGCACATTGGACATGCTCACCAAGCGGATCACGGCTACTACGGACATGGACATGGACATGGGCACGGACATGGACATGCCACAAGCTATGTGGACGTCAAGCAGGATACGGACAGCAAATGGTGGTGAAATTATCGGCTTAGATAAATGAAGATAAATGAAGATAAATGAAGATAAATATGGCCTACAATTATATAAAAACAAAACAACATGAATAAATTGATCAAAATCACAATCTAAATACATACATAAAGCAGAATAGTTTTGAATTTGAATTGGCTAATGCAACTGAATTTAAGTCAGCATTTTGTAAAGTCAATGAGTTGACTAAATAAATAGAAATAATAATACATACATACAACGTATCTATAAATTCTCCGATTCTTGAAAATCGATTAGAATCGATTTCCAAACCCATTAAATTAGGGTAAAAATTGTATAATGGCGTTGGGCACCTATTATAGCAGATAGAAGGAAGCATCTCCTACCCCATAAGGTATATAGATTCTTGATCAGGATCAACAGTTGAGTCGATGTAAGCATGCGCTCATGAACAAGCGGATCTCAGAGACTATGAAAGCTGTAGACTTCAAATTTGGAATGTAAGATATCGTAGATCCGGCGCAGATCAAAATTATTTCATCGATAAGTGCCCAGATTTTCAGATTTAATATCAACTACACACATTTTATCAAGATCGGATTAACAACATTAAACTCGTAGTCATATGTCATATGCCGCATCCCATCAACAATCTTAATCTCTTATAACCTTAAAAATAGGAGTGGGAAACCGATATTTTTTGACTTTCAAGAATCTATTATAGATTCAAAGGTCCACGCATTGGACTCGCCCTTAATGGTGGTCAAGAATACATATTCCTTATGGCCTGGGATATTTTTTTCTGCTTATTGAATACTTCATGATACCCGGCTTACCGATATCACGTAAGTACGTATCCTATTATCATTTCATTTTATTTCGTCAAATCAAACAAAATGCTGACTTAATATCAATTGAATCACCCTCTTTAATTAATTCAAAACTATTCCGTTTAATTAGTTTAGACTTGCATTTTGATCAATTTATTCATGTTGTTTTGTTTTTATATAATTGTAGGCCATATTTATTTTCATTTATCTAAGCTGTTAATTTCTCTACCATTTGCTGTCCGTATCCTGCTTGACGTCCACATAGCTTGTGGCATGTCCATGTCCGTGCCCATGTCCATGTCCATGTCCGTAGTAGCCGTGATCCGCTTGGTGAGCATGTCCAATGTGCTTGACGACTGCCTGGAAGCCATTGTGGTGATCGGCTGTGTATTCCACAATGCGAGTGCGTCCGTCGGCCTCTTTCATTGTGTAGCCACCCTTGACCTTGTCGCCATCACGTGTCTCCCACTGCTGCTTAATGTCGCCAGTTTTGGTATCCTTGACGCCATAATCGAACTGATATTTGGGATGATGATTGGGCTCAGCTGCAGCATGATGGTTATGCTGTGGCGCCCAGTGCTGAGGTGCTGCTGCTGCCACAAAGTAATTTGCTTGTGGCTGAGCCCAGTGATGATCATGCTCGTGACTGTGCCACTTCTTAGGTGCCTCATGGTGTGTCTGTATGCTGTAGCCCACTCCATTATCACCATGCTGGCCATGCTCGTAGCCACTATGTGATAAGTAACTCGCAGCTGAAAGTCCCAGCAAGGTGCAGCATATCAAAGTTAATGCTTGAGCCATTTGTTTTGAATTTGGGTTGTTAATTGCTTGTTGAGGTTGTTGCTTTGCCTAAAACCCAATTGTAACTGTGATACAAATCGAACAGTCTTTAGCCTTTTTATAGCTCAGCATTCTAGTCAACATGCATATGAATATGATTAAGTTTGCTTTTCGGAGGTTAAATAGGCTAGCAAAAGTAAAACAAAAAATATTTCCACTTCCATACTTCGTATTCATATTTTTGTTGCCCGATGCTCAATTAAGAGTGGCCCAAAAAGCAATTTCAACTGTAACAGCAACAATGAGTAAACAGAGTAAACAAATCGTAGACGTTGAATATATCTTTGGATTTAAGCACAAATTTTCAACTAAATAAGTGGCCAAATTTCTTCTAGTTTGATTCAGTAAAATAATACAGATGCTGAGGATGGGTGTACAAATTAAATTAACTAGCGTCATCACATGAAAATATGATAATCTGATAAGAGGGATAACTAATGCTAAGAATCCAAAATGGAGGTGAAAGTTGACTACCTTGAAGTATAGCAGAAGTCAATAATTCTGGAGGGAGTTGACCTAAGCAACTTAGTTTGAGTCCGACTTTTAAAAAAAGCTAATATCAGAGGTCATACTGAATTAAATGCTTTTCTAAATTCAATTGATTAACAGCAGTATTTTTTTTCTCACTAAATGTATAATTTACAAGAGAGGTAAATGAATGCAAGGTAGTCGAGGTTGACCGAATCCCTGCTGAGCAGATCTAGCCGATTTAGAGAGATTACTCTGTAATTTCAAATGTCAGATACACCAGGTTTTTTCTGTGACCTAATACCAATACTGCCGGATGGGATCACAATATCAGCTGCTCATTCAAATGATAAGTTCGCACTAAAAATTCGTGGTATGATCCTCACATTTCGAAAAAAAAATCATCGACATCGAAAGCTAGATTTCAGAAACTGTATTACTCGGCGTGTCTAAGATAGACAATCTTCATGTTATTGTTATATAAGTTATTTAGTAGCTAAATGTTATTTGAAATTGTCTGTGTCACTTACATGTACTTATACTTATGCTATACCTAATTTAGTGGCAAGTAAATTAAACATCATTTAGAGCTCAAATAGAGCCATACTAATTTATTTAAACTGTTTGTAGGTATGCATTAAAATAAAGTAATTTACCTAACCGGTTGAGCGCCCAGAAAATTGGAATAATGTTTTTATTAGAGCGACAATATAAGTAATAGCGGTCATTTAAATGTAAAAATCAATGTGTGTCCAGTTTTTAAATAATCAAATGTTGAAGGATGCAATTAAATGTGGATTATTTTATTATTTACTTTGTAATAGGGACAGAGGGCCAGAGGAACAGTGCATTGTCATCTAGAAATAGTCGTAGGGAATGGAGAACGGTTTACTCTGACAATCTACTTGAAGACTCTAGTAAACTAAAATCTTATATGGTACGCAACACATAGACAAGAACTTATGTAATATAACTTATAGAATAAAAGGTCTCGATTAATGATTCAATAATAATTTCTTTGATTCACTGCATTTGATAAACTTCAACCGTCCTATTCCAGTACGTACTCACGTATTTTGAGCCCATATTGAGAAATTACCAAGAGCCCATATTGAGAAGTTTGTCTAATGTGGCCTAAGATGCAATGCAATCTGCGTTCGATATCGTAGCCCTGTAGGATGGCACTTATTAAAATAGCATATTCTTTTTATCAATTTCCTAGCCGTCCTGGTTTTGAATCTTCAGCAGTTAATATCAGATAACATTCTGGCTCGAAGTCCTCGAAGTTGGTTTCCTGCTTTCAGATGCGTTTGATAACTTTCTTTCCGGTCGCTTACTAGCAATTTTGTTTAATATAAAGTATACTTTCAGGCATGTTCACAGTTTGAGGGTTACTGTGAAAGCAGTTTATATGTTGCTAAGCAGTGCGTGCACTGCTTTGCTATTCTTGTTGGAAGCTGCACAGCTTGGTGCTTCAATATTAATAAAGTAAAATAATAAAGTATTTTTCAAAAGATAAATATTGGGTGGGACTTTATTTGTGACTTTATTCGTTTAACAACAGGAAAATAAAATGTAAAATTGCTCGACTCGAACATACCCTGAATACAAGTGATGATTAATAATAAGTCAAAAACATCTTAAAAATTTAATCCAATGCTTCAAGTCTGTATGTGCTAGTGTGTTTGCACATGCATACAGAAAATGCTTTCGCTTGTGTTATGTACATAGGTAAATATGAGAATACCAATTTTAATCGAACTGAATGGAAACTATTCAGTTTATTAATAGGATTGCAAGGTATATTCGTTTCGAATTTGAATGCAATATCTTCAAATTTCAGTCGGTAATTGATTCGAATCGAAAATGGCGTAATAGGGAACGTTATCGATGGAATATGATGTCTTAGACAGAGTATTTTATGTGGTCGGAGATTCTTCTGCCTTTAACAGTTTATTATACTATATTACTCATCCTAATAGAATTGAGTTAAAATAAAAAAAAAATTCATTGGCTCTCTAATGTAATAAAAGTCTTTCAAAATTGACACAAAATCCGATTAGTCCGCAGTCTCATATAGATTCATCAATTATACATTAATTTATGCGCTGCAGCAAAGTTTTGCGGTCACATAAATTTGCAAGTATTGCGAGACCGCAAGACCAAGATTGCCACGGATCTGGCATCTGTTCGAAATGATTGAAGCGCCAAAGGAATAAGCTTTTAAGTTCAGAATAAAGCTGCATATGTAAATGATGGGATTCATTTATTTGTTCCAGAAATTTCCCGGGCATTTAAACGCTCCACACTATTGACACTTTGGAGGTGGTCCTACACTTGGCCAGGATAAGAGAACTCGTATGTTGTATATTTATTGGTCCTGATATCCGCATGTGTGAATAACGCAATAAAAACTTTGCTTTTGGCTCATAATTTGACTTCAGCCTTATGCTTGACCTCTCTCCTTTACTGCCTTATATGGCTTCATTAAGTATGCAAATGAGCAGTGGAAATTGCGGCTGCTTTAACGAAAAACGAAAAGAAATATAAAAAAATAAATAAATTGGGCAGGTGAATGGGCATCCAGGTGGGTGAGTTCAAAAGACAAACGAGCAGACCCCGACGGTCAGTCTGGCAGACCCATCACACGAGCTGTGAAATTTATACGAAGAGTTCGAAGTGCATTTCGCGGCCATAATTGCATACCCTTACGCAGAACTACAGAGTTGTTGGCATCTTTGCAGCTTATGTCGATCGCAATCCTATTTTGAATACACCTCGCCCGGTTGACAAGCATAATAATAAATGCTATAACTAATTTATAGCTCAATTCTGCAAGGGTATTCAGAATCGGTCTGGTCAAATCATGCATATCACTTCACTATTTTT